TCTATCTATCTATCTATCTATCTATCTATCTATCTATCTATCTATCTTCTACCTATTTTGAGAGAAAGAGAGGGTTTCATATAGCCAACTGGCCTGAGACTTGCTATGTAGTTGGAGACGACCTTGAGCTCCTGGTCCTCTTGCCTCATGCTGCCTGACAGATATGTGCTACTTTGCCTAGCTTAGCTTGTGTTCATTAAAAGTCTTTTCCCCCTCCTTTTTGAGATCATATAGATATCTTTCTGATTCTTTTCTGCCAACTTCATTCTTATATTCTATGTAGAATGTTCTAGCTTGTTGGTTAGAAGGTGTAGCCCCAGGTGTTAGAAGGTGTAGCACAGGTGTTAGAAGGTGTAGCACAGGTGTTAGAAGGTGTAGCCCCAGGTGTTAGAAGGTGTAGCACAGGTGTTAGAAGGTGTAGCCCCAGGTGTTAGAAGGTGTAGCACGGGTGTTAGAAGGTGTAGCACAGGTGTTAGAAGGTGTAGCCACAGGTATTTGTGTGCTACAGTTTCCATCTCTCAAGCATTATGGGATACTATATTTATTGCTTTTGCTTTTATTTCGTTTTGTTTTTCGAGACAGGGTTTTCTTTGTGTAGCCCTGGCTGTCCTGGACTTGCTCTGTAGACCAGGCTGGCCTCGCACTCACAGAGATCTGCCTGCCTTTGCCTCCTGAACACTAAGGGGTGCCGTGTGGGATACTGAATTAGGTGCACACTCCCAGACGCACCGAAGCGGCTGCTGCGGAAGTGCATGCGGGGTGGGGGTGGCAGCGCTGTTTAAGCGAGTTCTCTGCCTGTGTTCTTTAGCACCCAGCACTACCTGCTTCCTACAGAGTGCTTGACACCCTTGGGGAGGCCTTAGCGCATGCAGGTATCTCTTGGAGGGGACCTGGGAGCTGTGTGGGTCATAGAATTTGTACCGGCAAGTGTTTCTGGGAGTGTTCTATATGCTCTCTCCGCTGCGGGACCCTCCTGGAATGGCCACATAACTTGGTGGCAGGCAGTCCCAGGTCCTCACTGTGTAACTTGCTTAGGGATTAAGATCCATGTCCACGTAAAGTCCCTTGTGACAGCCGGCAGCTTGAAGCATAACACTGTCCCTCTCTGTCCCTCAGGCAGCCATCCGGGGTGAGCAATGGACCCCCATTGAGCCCAAACCCAAGGAGCGGCCCCAGGTCGGAGGCACCATCAAGCAGCCACCCACCAACCCCCCACCCCGGCCACCAGTGGAGGTCCGCAAGAAGCCAAGTGTGGGTGAGGAGGAGGTGGGCACGGCTGGAGGCCCCCAGGTCAACCCAATTCCAGTGACAGATGAGGTGGTGTGACCTTCCGTGGCAGCCTGCAGTTCCTGCTTGAGTGTTCCCGGAGGTGCCACCAGGAAGTGGTGATGCCTACTCTAATAAACAGTGAAAAGCTGGTGTGGACAAGTGGTTCTTCCTGTGATGGTGGGAGAGGGGTGACGGTTGGCACCAGATCTGACATGCACCCTGTCCTGTCTGGCAACCTGAAGGCCAGTCAGGGAAGGCCTGACAACTTCCCAGTGGACCCTGAGTGGGGCCCATGCTTACATGTGGGACCCTGAGCCTAGTCCAGGTCTTCCCATAGTGTGAGCCACTAGTTCCCAGTCCCCTTCACCCAAGGCATCCAATGGGTCCAGAGTCCAGACTACCATCCTGGCGACTCCTGGCTCTAGGGTGGAGTCTAAGTCTCCAGTCTGGCCTCACAGCCCTGGGTCTCTCCTAGAGAGGGACCTGGCAGGGTTATGCTGGGAAGGCCTATTATGGCAATGACTGCCTGACTGTCTTGATGCAGAGGGGTGTTCCTGGGGATTAACGTCAGGTGGGGAAGTCTCCCCAAATGGCCAAAGGAATAATAAAGAGTGGGGAGCACAATACGAGTGTGAGGAAAAGCCTATCCCTGCCCAGGGCAGCAGCGACCTCCTGTAGAGAGGTGGAGACCCAGGCCTAATGTGCTGTACATGTTGTATTGAAGCCCCTCTCCCAGCAGCACCTTCTCAACACACACACCTTAGGAAAGGAAGCTGGGGCTTTAGTAGCCTCTGAGCACCACTGGATGAACAGGGCCAGGAGGAAGGAAAAGTGAACTTGCAGGAATAAGTAAAGGAAGCGCTGAACATGTCCATTTAATAACACTTAAAATAAATAATTGTTTAAAAACAGCTGGGAGAGCTGCACTGGGCAGAACCAGGGCTCTGGGGTAGCATAGAGCCGGCCCCTCATCTCCCCGCCTGTCACTGTTGCTAGAGGTCCAAGGAGAGTAAGCCGGTTCCTTCAGGAACCCCACCTTTTGAGATGGTTTCACTCTGTAGCCCTGGATTCCCTGAAACTCATTGTGTAGACCAGGCTCTCTGAGAACTCGAGGCCACCTTCCAGCCTCTGTGGAGGGCTGGGACTCCAGCTGTGCCCGATACCACACCCAGTTCTCTTTGGAAACAGGCTTAGCTAAAAAAAAGTCACTGGGAATGATCCTTCCAGACAGGGGCCTGCCTGACCCCTCCAGTCCTGAGACCAGCAGCCTGCAGCTGGGCACGGGTCAGAGATCACTGGGCAAGCCTGGGTACGGCCTCTGCTGCACTTCTGAGTCAATAAATAAGCAATAAATACACATAAATAGAAGGGTATCTTCTGTGGGGGTGCCTGGGACGTCTGCCCGGAAGAAGCCTGGTGCACCATGGTGGGGGCCTCAGCAGAAGTCATCACTGTGCAGACCTGGGAAGAACACAGGTGCAACCCACAGGCACTCGGATGAACTCAGTGTGGAAGGCGAAGGATCCTGGTGTAGGGTCTGAGGCACCGTCTTGAGAGCAGGGCTGCCGCCGCAGCACCAGCAGACTCTGCAGCAGCTGCACAGAGTTCAGGGCGGCTGTCTCCCGGCCCGTCTTGGCGTTGATGCAGCCACGACACAGACATTCTGCCACCGCCAGCTTTTGTGGGTAGCGGTTCTGGTCTGTGTCAATGCTGTGGGGACAGGAGCAGTGAGAATACTCAGCTCTGGTCCTACCGAGAACTAATCTGAGCTCTCACAAGCAGCGCAGTGGGCACAGCATCCCTTCCCCGCCCCTTGGAGCTCCACCCTCTTGCGGCTGCACCACTTTCTCTGGAATGGGCAATCTGGGAGTTCAGGATTCAAACGCCACAGACAGAAAGGCACAGGCACCGAGAATTGGAATTCAGTTGGTGCTCAATCAATGGTGGTGCCTACATTTAACCTATGGCCTTTGAGAACAGAGAACCAGGGCCTTTAATGGGGGCCCTGGTCTCACCTGGTCCAAGCGACAGCTTCTCAGGGGAATGTGTCTTTAGAGGTTGGGGGGGGGCACACCTATTGAACAGGTGAGAAACTAAGGCTCCAGAGTGGGAATAAAGTCACCCTCCCGTCCCACCCGTGGGGACCCCGATCAACCTCACCGATATTTCCATGGTGAGATGGAGCGCTGGTGGGTGTCAGCTTCCAGCACCTCCTCTGGCCGCAGCACGGGGCACTGTGTTCCAGCTAGTCTTTCATGCTGTCTCCTGTGGCCCGTGGCCTCCAGAGTGGACACCAGGGCCACAGGGAGGGCCTGCTCCCACCTGGCACTTCGGGTTAGCAGGTGTGGGGGAGCCTGGCCACGAGACAGCTCCTCAGCAGAGTAGCACCTCAGGGTCCCATGCCTTCGGAGATTCCCCTGGAACGGGGGGTCTTGGTGGGTCATCCCAGAAGGCAACCAGGCTAGAAGCAGGAGACGCTGGGGAACAGGCAGGTGTATGGTTAGGGGTAGCCCAGAGAACACCCCATTTCCTCCAAAGCTTGCTGGTTCTCATGGAAAAGATGGGGTTTAGACTTTTCTTCTGTAAGTGGGGAAATCAGCTTCGCTAAAGGCATCTCAGTGCACCTAGGCTCAGAGAGAAGCCCCCATCATCCACCCTTCTGGGATAGGCTGTCCTTAGGAGGCTGGGAAAGGTGCCAGGCTCACCATCATAGTGCCAATGACAGTAGCCATGGCAGCAGACATGGAGCGGCCTCACACCTGGCGATGGTCCCAGTGCTGCACCTGGTGGAGACCGGCTGTGTGCTTCTTTATACCTGGGGCCACACCTGGGGAAACTCCGGCACTCTGCTTCCTCCTCTGGGTCTGTCCCTTTCATCACGCAGTTGTCCAGGTAGGTCCTGAGAACAGCCGCTGGGCCCAGCTCTGCCACGCCCGCTACGTCACAGGCGCTTAGGATCCTTTTCAAGGCAACCTCTCTACCCAAAGCGCCCCTACCCAGTGGAATGCCCGTGAAAAGCCAGGGACCCATGGGGCATAAGGGTTTCAGCCGAGCTGCTCTAAGCAGCTTGCTGCTCTGAGTTGTGCCAGTTTTTGCTGTTCGCGGTTGGCACTGGGGTCTTACATATTACTTCCTGCTGTGGGTCCTTGAGGCTGAGTCTCTGGACCTGTGGATGGGCACTGAGGCTATGCTTCTTGCCTACAGTGGTCACCATGAGCCCCTTCCCTGTACGGGCAGGAGAGATGATAGCTGGGGATTGCCCTTAGGTCTTAGTGAGGGTCCTACAGGTTTTTAATTTTTTTAAAAACTTTTATGAGGATGAGTGTTTTGTCTATGTGTGCGCCTGGTACCCATGGAGGCCAGAAGAGGGCCTTGGATCTCCTGGAACTGGAGTTACGGCTGGTTATGAACCACCACATGGGTGCTGGGAACAGAACCTGGGATCTTCTGTAAGATCAGCCAATGTTTTTAACTGCCGAGTCTTCTCTCCAGCCTCTCTCCTACAGTTTTATCCAAGATAAAAATTCTGGGGCGGGGAAGGTCAGCCCATCGGAAAAGAGTGCAGTTATCGAAGGAGCCACCGGAAGCGCCCCCTCCCCCACTGAATCCTGTATAACACAGCTGGTGCGGGTGAGCTGGGTCCTGTGGGTGCTTTTATCTGAAAAGAGGACAGGTGGGAGCCAGATCTTGGGATGTTTTGAATGCCTAAGGTTTGGCTGTCATTCTGGGAAGGCCTCTACCCTGGGGCCCCTTGGGGATCGGGCCACCTCTGAAGCAGAAGGGCCTGTCTGGCCTGGTTTTTGCGAGAGTTGAGAATGTCCAGCTGTGGGCGGGGCCAGGGAGTGTAGTCACAGATCCTTCTTCAGCCCCCACACTCAGAAGGAGCCTCTCAACCCGAGGGCAGGAGCCATGCTTCAACCTCAGAGCTGGGGCAGCACATCGGGTGCCCCGGGAATGACATCCCAAAAGGATGAAGGGACAGCTCTGCTCACCGACTCCACAGGCCACCATGAGGGCAGTGCTGTGCTGCCAGCCGCCTGGGGTCCTCTGAGTCACTGGAGGCTGACTGACTGTTGCTGTCACCAGATCCACAGAGCACCAGGCTGCTGGTGTGTTCCCAGGGCCTCTCAGAATCTGGTCTGGATACAGTCCCTCCCCTCACAGAGGACAATGGCGGAAGGGAGCTGAGACGGTCTAAGTGCCCTCAAGGAAGCCCCTGAAATGAAGCTATGGCTGAGATGTTTGGTGCAGAGCCCAGTCGTGGTACCTCCCTCGGCTGACCTGCTGACCTCCAGTTTCTTCCTGGCACATACATATGCCCACCAACGTGCATGTAAACATGTCAGCTGTAGCTGCCGGACTCCAGGGCCTTGGAGAAGATCCTGGTGGACATGGGTGGGATTTCCCAGGCTACGTTTTTTCTGCCTAACCAATGGGCACCCTGACATGATTCCCATGACCCTTTTGCATTGTCAGTTTGTGAGTCACAAGACACAGGTGGGAGGGAGGTAAAGGTGAGGGAAGAGTTGGGTCAGCTACATCCTGGAAGAGAGGGCTGGGCCTGTAGATTCCAGCCTCTTCTTGGGTCGGGATCTTTCTGTATACGGTCTGTCTAACAGCACCCAATGTCCTGGGAAGAGCAGGAGAAGGAAAGCTAGGGAAGGACGTGTGTGTGTGTGGGGGGCATCAGAGGGAAGGGCCCACTTCAGACTGCCCCACTCTAGATCAGTCCTTTCCCCCACCAGTGCTACCTCTCCCAGAGAGGAGCAGGGGCCACAGGTCTCGGCCATTGTCGAGGCGGGGCCCAGTGGGAAGGAGTTCACCGATACCTTCACCTTTCACCTGTTCCACCTTGTACCCCAGGACAGGAACAAGAACAATGGCTTTGGAGACATGTTCAACTATGGCCCTGTTTTCATTCTTCAAGGAGCTTCAGCTTTCCCCGCTTCCCAGGCAGGGAAACTGAGGCCCAGGACGGCAACAATTTATCCCAGGCTGTACAGCAAATGTGCCAGCAGAGCTGGATTTTAGCCAGGATCAGCCTGCTCAGTGTCTGGTGTATTGAAGAACATTCTATAGCTGCTCCTACTTCTGGCACAGGTGGATTCCAAAGACAGGGAGAGCATTGGGGTCTTTGGGTGGAGCCCAGGGTCTCAGGAGGCAAACAGGCCCACGTGCCTGTCAGGTACTAGCCTGTGGCTTCATAGAAGCTGGCCCAGATACTCTCAAAGATGAGACTGTTCTACTTCCTCTGCCAGGTCCTAAGACTGGGATCTGTGTGTTCTATCATTTTTCAGATGGAGCCCAGCAGAGCTGACCAGGCCTCCTTCCTTGGCTTACAGCAGCTCCTTACTGATCCCATACTTGTGGCTGGCTGCTGTCCTGAGTCCAGCTAATCCCACGCACAGATTCGATCCATTCTGCCCAGCCCTTGAAATGCAGGACACTCCTGGGCCAGGACGGCAGCAGCATACTGGCCTCTGAGCACCCACGTTCCATGGGTGTACTGAGATAACAGCAGGACATCTGGTGTCAAGTGTGGTCCCAGACGATGTCCTGTAACCTTTGACCTCAGTGCCCACCTGTCTTCCCACTCAAAGCCTGCTTTGGATTTTTTACCCACTAGTGGCTGGGTGGGTAGTCTGAAGGATCTGAATGCAGCTCTTCTGGTAGACACTGCCTAAGGCTCTATGAGGGAGGATGTAGGGAGTGGGGTGTAGGGGTCAGAACACATACTACTGTTGGAGGCAGAAGGTAGGTAGCCTTGCTCCTGAGGTTCATTCATAAGTCCCAGGTTAGGCAAGAATGGAAAAGCACCCAAGAGGAAGGATGCCGAACAGCCTGCCCTGCTTGGGCAGGCCCGCCTGCCCACATCATGCTTCAGTGGCCCCTACACAGATCCTGCCCTGGCTGTCTGGGTCAGGTAAAAGCGGGAAGCCTGGAGATCTCAGGTTTGGTTGTTGTTGGTCTATTTAGGGTTGCTAGGTGAGGTTGTATCTCTCCTGGGCCTGGGGTCCAGTCAACAGCAAGGCTGACTCTTCCTCTGACCCACAGTAGCAAGGCTATTGGGAATGTTTATACTGGACTTCCCTGGGTGAAAATCAGAGCTTGGGGACAGCTTAGCTGGTAGAGCTTCCCTTGCCAAGAGGAAGGATCAGAGTTCAAGTCTCAGAACCCATGTAAAACGCTGCTTGTGCTGGGGAGGTAGATAGGTAGATCCCAAGACTAGAGAGGCCAGCCAGTCTAGTTTAATTGGTGGCCTCCAGGCCAGAGAGACCCTGTCACCAAGGAGGTGGAAGGCATTATCAGACACCTGAGGTTGTCCTCTGGCCTCCTTTGAACTTGGGGGCTTTAGGGCATGGTACTTCCTGGAAGGTGGTGATAGAAGAGATAAGGTGGGGCTGCCACAAGACCAGGAACATTGCCTGGGAAGGCACTGTGGCGCTGGCCTCTCTGGAGCTGTCTGCACTGGGTAGGCCTTATTAAAGGACTCTCATGGAGAGTAGTAAATGCATCGAGGACATCGGAGTGTCCTTGTCTAGGCTTTGCATATCCTGGACCTGAACACATGCCTGGGTCAGGGCCAGGCGATATGTTCAAATCAAGAGTGACAAATGACTTTATAGCTGGGGTCAGCCTCGCCAGTGAATAGATACCTATTCACTCCAAGAGAGGTCAACCACAAGAGCTGGGCTGTTTTTCGTTTAACATAGGATGGGAAAACTGAGGCTTAACGCTCCAGGGCTTGGAGATTCAAGCAATCTGTGCTGGCTGGCTTGCTATTAGATAATACTCTTGTATATTGTAGATTTGTCACTTGTATTAGTTTAATAAATGCTGATTGGCCAGTAGCCAGGCAGGAAGTATGGGCAGGGAGACCAAATTAAGAGAATTCTGGGAAGAGGAAAGACAGAGAGTCAGGCACTAGTAAGATGCAGAGGATGCAAGATGAGATTGCCTTACTGAGTAAAGGTACCAAGGCACATGGCTAAACACAGACAAGAATTATGGGTTAAGTTGTAAGAGTTAAACAATAATAAGCCTGAGCAGTAGGCCCTACAGTTTATAATGATTATAAGCCTCTGTATGTTTCTTTGGGACTGATTGGCTGCGGGACCAGGCATGATTCCATCTACACTGGCTCCTGGCGGGTGACAGACACCATCTGCTCCAGGGCTCAGGGCTCAGGGCTCAGCTGGAGTGCTTGGTCCATTTTGAGCTAAAGCATGGATGCCCAGTGGGGAGGAAGTCCAGGCCCATGCAGACACCACCAGGACCAGAAAGTGCTTATCAAAATATTTTATTTTAGGAGATCGCTCAAAAAAGACCCTCCACATTGGACAGACACCCCAACAATACCCTTGGCCTTATTTTTTTTGTCTTTTGTTTTTTTTCTTTTAATCAACTAAAACAATTTGATGCTTAAAATAAAAGACAGGAAATGTTTCCCAATCAGACTTTAGGCAAGAATATATATATATATATGTATATATATACTTCTGATCCAGGGGAGAGGAGGGATGGTGCTGCCTGTGGTCCAGGAAATATTCGGCTTTCCTGTTCCCAGAAAGGAGACTCTGCTGGAAACACGCAGCCAGGAAGCCACCTGGGGGAAATGAGGACGGAGGCAGAAGAGTGTGAGTCCAGTCCCTGCGAGCCTGAAGCTCTTAAGTTATTCAGAGCTGGTGCTCCCTGTCTCAGTGCTGACCTGTCCGTCTGTCTGTCTGTCCGTGGAGACTCTATTCTTGAAGGAGCTGGTTCAGTTTGGTGGGAAGGTTGGGATTCAGCGTCATCTTCATCTTGTATGTGGCTTCTTTTCCAGCTGAGAAACTTTTTTTTTCTTTTTTAATTTTTAAAAAGAATCACAGCCAAAATAAGACATTAACTGGAAAATCCAAAATGGCTGCGCTTACCCTATTTTTATAAAACATTTAAGAGTCTACTCCAGGGAGTGAGCTGGGCCTACTACACTTTCCCAGGGATCTTGGCCCGCTTGCGAGCGATGGCATCCTCGACAGCCTTGAGCTGTTTAAGGAGTTCCTCTCGCCGTGACAATGTGCTGGCCTTCCCTGACTTGGTGCCTGCAGCAGCAGTGTCTGTGGCTTTGCCGGGCACACTGGTGACCTTGCTGGAGCTCTTAGACTGGGGTGACAGTGGACGCTTCCTGTAGGGTTGAAAAGATGTGAGGAAGGAGATGAGAAAGAGCACACCCTGGGGTGAGCACCCAGGGCTCCCCACTTCCTCTGTCTGGGCTAGCCCACAGCCTCTTCAAGTCACCCTACTATATCACCACTATAAGGCCATCCTGAGACTCAGTCTCCCTTTTTAGGGCCTTTCAACAAGGTGGGATTGAGCAGTGTGCTAAGGTTGAGCCTGAGGGTTCTTAAGAGGAGTGGGTTGGGACTGCTCTGTCTCTTGTCTGTTTGTTCTTCCCAGTCTCCCAGGTCTTCCACACTGTTAAAGGCTATGGCCTGTCCTGGATAAGAGCAGGGACTTACCTGTCTGCTGGGGCAGCAGGGGCTTTAGCGTTTTGGCCTCTCTGCCTCTCTGGCTTTGGGGAGCCCATTCTTCCCCCTGATTTCCGGTCCCGAGAACCTGGCCAACAGGGTAGAGAGTGAAACCATTGTTTTGTATTTGGGGTCACCAGAGGACCCAGGTCCAAAGTGTCAAGGTGGCCAGGTGTGGTTTGCTATAATCTTAGCACTGGGAAGTAGAGGAAGGAAGATCAGGTGTTGAATGTTGTCCTTGGTTACATAGTAAGTTTAAGGTCAGCCTGGGCATTCCACGAGGTCCGTTAAAAAAGTCACAATGTCAGGATGGCTGGCACATTTCTCCATATGTGTGCATGTGTGTGTTTGTATAAACAAAAACCAGAAGCTGGGCGGTAGTGGCATACACCTTTAATCTCAGGAGACAGAGGCAGGTGGATCTCTGTAAGTTCGAGGCCAGCCTAGCCAGAGCGAGTTTCTGGACAGCTAGGGCTGTTACACAGAGAAACCCTGTCTCGAAAAACCAAAAGGAAAAAAAAAAGCTGAACAAGCCAATAACAGCACCCCTCCACAGCCTCTGTATCAGCTCTGCTCACAAGGTTCTAGTCATTTCTTCCTTCCATGATAACAGCAATGTGGAAGTGTAAGCCAAACAAACCTTTTCCTCCCCAAGTTGCTTTTGGTCATGGTGTTTCATCACAGCAATAGTAACCCCAATAAGACTTTGGGTGTTAGAACTTCCCCAGAAAGAACCAACACACGCTTGTTGCCCTTGACTTTTGCTTTTAATGCTGTCTCATGTAGCCCAGGATGGCTTGGTACTCTGTGTAGCTAAAAGATGACCTTAAACTTCTAATTCTTCTGCCTGCACCCCTCAAGTGCTGAGATTACAGACGCACACACTGTATCATTATATGATGCTGGGGAACAAATGATTCAAGCCCTCTACTAACACGCCCCCACCCTCATTCCTGTCCTTGTTTGTACTGGAAGGGTTGTTCACCATGAACAAGTTTTGCACTGCATGTCACATACAAAGGCTTATTATCAGTAACTTTTTATGGTGCTGGGTCAAACATGGGTCTTGTGCTCTACCACTGAGCTACATTCCCATACTATTATTTAAAATAAAGATTTGAAAACTTTCTCATCACCAGGTGGTAGTGGTGCACGCCTTTAATCCCAGCACTCAGGAGACAGAAGCAGATGGATCTCTGTGTCTCTGTAAGTTTGAGGCCACACCGTTCTACAAAGAGTTCCAGCCAGCACACAACAGTTTCACAGCTTTTGTCAGTTTTGGCTCGAAAAACCAAAAAACGAAAAACAAAATAAAACAACAAAACAAAACCCAAACCAAACCAAACCAAACCAAACCACTTTCTCATCATGCACAGTGGTATACAACTATAATACTAGCACTTCGGAGGCTGAAGCAGGAGGATCATGAGTTTCATAAGCCTGGTCTACTGAGCTTATCTAAAAGTGAAATGCAACTCTAGCTACAGTCTCCAGCGCTATGGAGCTCTCAGGCGCTCCAGTATTCACAACAGATGCACTGTCAAGGCCCTGCAGGTGGGCCTTCTGGCTCATCTGACCCCATGGTATGTCTCACGCCCTGGACCTGGGAGGCTCACCTCGGTCTGGGGACAAGTTGGCCTTCTTGGCTGGAGGGCTCTGCCGGTCTTTGTCTGATGGCTCATAGCGCTTCCGGCTTCCTTTATCAGCCGCCTGAAACAGCACAGTACTGTAAGGGTGGTAGGGCCTGGGTGGTCATTAGGCAAGGAAGAGGGTGGTGGTCGATCTGTTGTCACTGGAGAATGGGTCTTTGCTCCCATGGTTCTTCTTTTGGCCCTGCCCGCCCTCCTAAGCCCCACCAATAAAGCAGTTCTGTGGTCCTTGTGACCATGTGATGGGATCCTTTGTGCTGTATAGGGAAACGCCATGAAGGACCCCAACATGTCAGGCCTTGGCTCTTTCAGACATGTGTGGAGCTTTGATGAGAGAACCCAGGCTTGCCTGCCTGCTGTCTCAGGACTGGCACATGAACTATTAATGCTGAGGTGCTAACCTCTGGACTGTGCTGGTGCATGTTTGAGACACCTGGGCCTCTCTCAGCTCGGGGCAGGTGGAACCCAGCAGCAGGCCCAGGTGACCACTACTGCCTGTCCCCTTGGTCTCACCTTATTCAGCAGGGTCAGCTTTATCTCCTTGTGGGCAACAAAGGAGCCCTGCTGGGGCTGCCCAGGGGTTGCCTGCTGAGGTGTCGCTGCCTGCTGGGAGGACTTCCCACCTGCTGGAGCTTTAGAGGACTTGGGTGGCTGCGTGGATGGATCTCGTTTTCGCTTTTCCTCTCTTACTCCGTCTTCTTTCTTAGATTTCCCTGTTAACAACAAACCCTCAGTTCCTGTGCACACGAACAGTGAAACAGTCTGTTTAAAGCTCACCCCTGATCCTACACCCCCAGGGCAAGGCCCTGCATACCTCTCTCTTTCTTGGTCTGGGCAGGGGTGGGGGATCGAGAGCTGGCTGAGGATACAGGACTCGCCAGGTCTGCATACATGTCCTCTGAGTCCACACTGTGCACTGAGCTGCTACTTGAGGTGGCGCTGGACACCGAGGAGACGCTGCTCACACTCAGAGACCTAGACACAAAAACACAGCTGTGCCCTTCAGCCCCATGTTGACTGCAAAATGGCTGGGCTACAGGCTGATGACAGGGGGATGTCTCTATGGCTTGTCTTTACCCAATTTCCTTCCATGTCTATGGAATACACATCAAGAGCAAGAGATCTCAGGGGCCTTTCAGAGGTACTATACAATGAAGGGGGACGCTGTGTCATGAGCTGAGGTCTCTACTTAATAAACTGGGTGACATTATTCTGGTAAGGGAAATGTGACCGAGCCCTTTCCTATGGTGATAAGGACATACTTTTAAGCAAGTTGATGGTGCACAACAGCTACAATCCATAATCCCAGTAATTGGAGGGGCTGAGGCAGATCTCTGTGGGTTTCAGAATAGCCAGGGCTCGATAGTGAGACCCTATCTTAATACTTCAAAAGCAGTACAAAATGTGCGACGGCAGCTGGCAGTTGTGCTGGAGCACCTACAGTCCCAGCTTCCTGGGAAAACTGATTAAGCCCAGCAGTTCAAGCTTATCTGGCAACACAGGGAGTCTCTCAACCCAAAACCAAAACCCTGGAGCTCAGGGTAGAGCACTTGAGCAAAATGCAAGGTTCCATCCAGGTTTCCACCTTTAGTACCACACCAAAAAATTTTGGATGACAGTAAATTAAACAAGTAGTGGTAACCGGGTGGTGGTGGCGCATGCCCTCAATCCCAGCTCTCAGGAGGCAGAGGCAGGTGGATCTTTGTAACTTTGAGGTCAGTCTGGTCTACAAAGCAAGTTCCAGGACAGCCATGGAGGTTACAGAGGGAAACCCTGTCTCAAAAAACTAAAAAGGTAGTGACACTTTCACTGTCAGGGACAGCAAACATAGGGCGGGGCGGCTGGGGGGTGGGGTGGGACGGAGAGAGTAGATGACGGTTCTGTTTTTTGGGACAGTGCAGCGTATAACACCACCAATCAGCTCTTCCTAAGGTCATCACAGAATAGAGGAACAGAGGCAGGAAAAAGACAGAAGAGTCAAGCATTTCTTAGCTTTAAAAACACACAAACCACTCAGTGGTTAAGAGCACTGGCTGTTCTTCCAGAAGACCTGGGTTCAATTCCCAGTACCCACACGGCAGCTCTCAAATGTCTGTAACTTCAGTTTCAGGATACCTGACACCCTCATACAGATATACATGTAGGCAAAATGTACATAATTAAATGCACACTAATGTATATAAATTAAAAAATAACCAAACAAAAATCCCATAGGTCTTTCAAACAGTCCAGACACTGAACAGACACTGAAGCCTTGGACAAGTGCTTAAAGCCCTGATGCCTGAGAATGGAGGGAAAATGGCAACAAGATTCCAAGAACACCAAGCTGCTTCCATCTTCTAAACCCTTCCTGGTCTACTTTAAGGCTCCTCCCAAATGCCTAGGGATTAGCAGGCCCAGAGAACACTCAGTCTATTCTCGGGAAAAGTGTGGAGAGATCCTGGGGCTGGCCTCACTTTGTCCAGTTGGGTTGTACCAGTCTAGGCCTCTTCCCCTAGGGTTAGATGCTCTTGTGCGAAGGGAGGCTATACTCACTCTGAGTATATGTCCTTGAACAATGAAGAGTCCCTAACATGGCTGGTGAGGCAAAAAAGATCAGCAGGGAGTAGGGACCAAGCAACTGACCTGGATCGGGAACTGGAGCCACTGTAGCTGCTGCCACTGCCGCTACCACTGCCACTGAGCGTCCGCCTGCAACACAAGTAGCACAGTTCACTCCAGGGGCAGCCCTTGCTAAGGCAGAGCCTTCCTGCACACCAGGCTGGTCATGGGCCTGAGATATGTTTCAGCTTGGGCTACTGTTTCCTGATGCTTCCCTGGTGATGCATCTGCCTCCTAGGCTCCAGGTTTCATTAGCATCTACTCCCAGGCAGCACCAAGCATTAGCATCTACTCCCAGGCAGCACCAAGGACAAAGAGAACTGTACCAGGATTACCATAAACTCACAAGCTCACCTCCTTGGGGGAGTCCTGGTTTGCCGCTCCTTCCTTCTGGCTTCTCGGAGATCTCCTGGTTTGGCAGGCTCAGGGGCAGGAGCAGTAGTTTTGGTGGCCTGTGGTAGGGCTGGGGGTGGGGCTGGTTTCTTTACTGACTTCTCCCTGTGAGGCAGAGGCACAAGGTCAAGGCAGGATAGGACTAGGGTCCCTGCTCAATGCACCCATATCTCAGGGCTCTGCAGTTCGGACATGGCACACAAGTGCCAAGGTCCATGCCACAGGGACCCAAGTCTAGGTGCTGAGCCCGTGCTTCCGCCCACCTCCTGGGAGCCTTCTCTGTCGCCCTTTGGAGGCTGCTTCACCTCTAGTCCAAGCATGGGATGGGAAGAGATAGTGGAAGAGGCTGGAAGCCTTGGAGACCCCACCGAGGTGGAGCACCATAGCGACCTGAGGGGGCTCAGGACTCACCCTGCTTTCCCGGGAGGCGGGGCCGGCTCCCCCTTGGTTCTGACTGGAGGTCTGTGTGGGGAAGGTGTGGGAGACGGGGATGGGGACGAGGAGAAGGACCGGGACCTGGGGAACAAAGAGAGTGTGAGGAGGAGTCTCACTGGCTGGAGCTGGCCCACCCCTAGGAAATGGTCCTGATCCACGGAGAACTTAGGCTTAAGCTCAGCTGCTTCATCATCTGATAAAACACACTTTCAGGAGGAAACGGAAGGGCAGCGTGCAGTCTCAGGAAGGAGTGAGTGCTGTGTGCAGGACTAGGTGCTTGTACCCAAGAGAGGGTATGTGGTTCTGCTTTAGCCAGGGGCCAATGGGTAAACATGTCTCTGGCTAAAGTGTGGGGTCTGAGACACCTAGTAGCTGGGAGGTGGCAGAACTGGTGAGGGTCCCAAACACTTTGCTGGCAGGTAAAGGCACAGGCACAGAGGTCCCCAAACAGTGACAGCATCACATAAAAAGGGAGTGTATAGTTGGGAGGAGATTATGACCAGATGATTTCCACACAAGTATCAGGTGTCAGCAGGGTAGACAAAGAGCCTGGGAAAGGGAGCTGGGTCTAGGCGGAGTTTCCAGGATGGAGCTGACAGTGACGTCACACTTCTTCCGTCAAGAGGATGAAAGGAACTGGGTTGGCCCATATTGCCTACTCAAAACCATCACACAGGATGCCTATTACTTCTAGCTGAATGGTGCAAGCAGTGGGTAAGGTTTTTACAGCTCTTCATGCTCCCATATTCAAAGGAAGGTGCCCAAGAATTCACTTTTGTGGCCTTGCACTTACTTCCTCACCTTGTGGGAACCAGGAAAAGTGCATCCCAGGGCCCCTCTAAGACACTTTGGTCCCGAGGCAGTCTGCCAGACTGCTCTCCCCTCTCAGCCTATCCTCCTGAGTGCAGCTTTGCGAGGGGCTACTACAGATGAACTTCAAAAAGGACAGCTGCAGAGCCCCTAGGTGGGGACTCCATTCTAGGTCTCTAGGGAGGCTAAGGTACTGAGAAAGGCACACATCCTGTGGGAAATACCTAAGAAGTTTATGGTCAATAGTGAGATGATGATGAAGCTTCCGAGCAATTGATAGGATGGTGGAGCACCCCACTAGCAGCTCCCTGAAATGCCACCTCATACTTCCTGGGTAGATCTACAAGACCCTCCCGTGTTCTGCCTGCAATGGGACCCACTCAACTCCCTGCTTTCTGTGCTGGAGTTACCAGGAAGGGTCAGAAACACCTGCAAAGTGAAACCCGGAGTTCTTTCCCTCTCTACTCTGTTCCAGCTGCTGCCTTGATCCAAGTGTCCCAACCTCAGGGCATGGATAGGCACAGAGCTTTCTTCCCTGATACCTTCTGCCATACTGTCAGCTGCTTGCTCAGAGTAAAGATCACACATACAACCTTTTCTATATAAAGTTCAAAATTTCCAAAGGCTCACTGTATTCTCTACCTCTCTAGTCTCATATTTTATACAGTACCCATATGACCTTTATCTATGTCTCAGAGGCTCCCATTGGTTTTCCCTGCTCTCCCCACCCTGAGGCCCACGGCCACCTCTCTCTGCTGCATACCTCCCTCCATGCTGACACTTGCAGAGGGAACCTGTCAATGTTTGCACTCTGTGGTTTATGCCAGCACACCTATGGATGGCCTCCACACACCTCATCCTGGTTGTCTGCTTCTTCAAGAGTCTCAATGTCCACAAAAATAGGTCCACATGCAATTTATTTCACACCCCACAATAGTATTAGTGAGCATCAGATGAGACAGCCTTAGCAGCTCTCAGAACTGCTTTCTAATCCCCTCTATCATCACCTCTAAAGCAACACCAGTCGGATGGGATCGCACACTTCTTTATTCCCAACACTCTGGAGGCAGAGACAGGTGGGAGTTTGAAGCCAGCCTGGCCTAATACATAGCAAGTTCCAGGCTAGCTAGGGCTACACAGTGAAACCCTGCCCTATAAAAGAGAATAATATAAAAATTTCCTTAAAACAAACAAACAAACAAACAAACAAACTCAAGACCATATGCCAGGAAGGGGAACATTGCAAGGGACACCAGATTACACTAAGGGAAGACAAAACATTTTATTCCCACAAAGATACCTAGAGATAATATGTCTCAAAGCAGAGGACTGCCAGTCTTCATGTGCACCAATTAACAACTAGGATTAAGATAATTCCATCTACCCACATACCCTACTAGCTTTACTGAATGCCATGCCAAAGTTTTGACCTTTCTCAAGAGCTTATGGTGATGACAGTGCAGGGAGGGTCCACAATGGAGCATCAGCTCAGTTCAGGGCTGGACCACTGAGCACTTCTCTGCCCCTCAAGCCATTCTGTTTCTGTGGGGGCAGGTCAAGCTGAATGCACAGTGTTATGTGCTGATAGGATTTGTCTAAAGCTCTGGAAGCATCTATTTTCAATGGGGAAAATTCAACAAAAGCTTGCTTGACCTTCCTAGGCTTTCTAGGACGATGGAAGCACTGCATATTCACACCCGGACTCAACAGAGACCATATAGATGCAGGTCCTGTGTCCAGTACCTGCAGCGTATGCTGACTGGCGACTCAGCCCAAACGGCTTCTCAGTGTGCAGCTTACCAAAACCATTTTGGAAGCAGGTATCCAGGAATCCTGCCATGTTTTACAGAGACAAACAGGACCACTTGATCTGTCCAGAATGTCTGTCCTCACTGTACCTGCTAGGAGTTCAGCAGGCTGGGACATACCTGGACCGGCTTCCTGAGAACGAGCTGTGTCTGGAAGAGCGGCTGGAATAGGAGCTGTAGGACGAAGATCGGGACCGGGACCGGGACCGGGATGAGCCAGAGCCAGAGTAAGATGAAGACCGTGAAGATGACCTGTGGGCCAATGGACAGAGTAGGGGCAGTGAAGAGGCGACCTTCACTACTGCCCACTGGGCTGTGCTGAGCCACCACTCCTTTAGTGCAGAGTCACAGCATGGCTACAGAGACATGAGTACATTCACAAAACCATGTATAGCAACCCAGTAAGAAAAGATGATCATGAGATCCCTACAGACACTCTGTAGCACCATCACTCCACAGTGGAATGTTGTAGAGCCCGGGATGGGGGTGTGTTGGGCATACCCATGGTTACTGGGTAACCCAGAGACTAGTTTCAGTGTTGGACTCAGCCAGAGTGAGTTTTCAAGCTGAATCTACTATTCACGTGGTTGTGTTCCTGGCTCCTATTAGCACCTCAGGTTTCTCCTAGACTCCACCTGGAACTCCTTCCTCAGGCAGGGAGACACAGCTCTTATCACCCACCACTCACTTCACCATGCATTCACACTAGAGCTCAGAGTTATAAAGGCAAATTCTCTGAGAAGCTGGAAGTCAACAGAGTATGCAGTTCCTCTGTCAGCAACTTAGTGCCTTTTCCACAGGATCTGAATGTATGACTCCAGTAGCCAGTCACAGTAGTGTCTATACCATTCTGGGTCACTCATTCTACTTACTCTTATATGTTCTGGGGGATGTGACCACCTAATACCCTACTGTCTTGTCCTTGAGCAGTGACCACACACATGGAAACTGGCGCCAGTGCGTATCCACAAGCCACTTGTCTCGACAGGTCCCTGGAGGTACCTGGAGGAATTGGAAGCAGAAGCTGATGAGGCAGAGGTTTTGCGACGCCTCCGTGCCCGGCTTGGGGAGACTGACACACCAAGTTTCTTCTTGGGAGACTTGGATCGGCGCCAAGGGTCCTTCCACTCATCGGCTCGCTTCACCTGTGGCCCCACAGAGGCGGTCTCCTTCTTTGGTGGCTCAGCTTGACGGCTGGAATCATAGAGAAGATCTCAATCCTCGGGCTGCCACCCTCCCCCAGCAATGCTGCTTTGAGAAAGAGACGGGAAAGCCAGAACACTCAGTGACAGTTTATTTTGGGGATACCTGAAGAAAGCATCAGATGAAGAGGTAACACAGCGCACCTTCTAATCTCAGTTTCCTCCAGAAATGGTCTTAATCTTAGCCATTTTTTTTTTTTTTCTGGGAGCATCCCCATTTTCTTTTAAGTCTAACTGCAAGTACTTTCAGGGTTGCCATCACTTATTTCTATCTTTCTGACTGTACTGTCAAACAGAGATGGAATCCACCTGGTTCAAACATGCTTATTTCTAGTGTTGGCACAAAGAAGGTATGCAGTACTCATGAAACTAAAGCAACAAAAATAACTATGTTTTCAAATGCTCGTTAACTAAAAAAGTTGCATCTATGCATTACATTTTCCTTACATTTAAAGAGTCTGGTTCAGCTGCAGACAGGGAACTTCGTGATTAGCGCACGGAAAGATGACCATCCCAGGCTCCCTTCCCTAACAGCACTGCCTCAAGTGCTCAAGAGAGGCTAGAGAAAAGCGCATCAAGTAAGGCTGCTGCACTACCACCATGGAAATAAAAACCCTGCCTATTTATATTTTCAGAGATACTATTTAGTCACCTGCCAATGGCAGGTACCAGTACCATTTCCTGGTGAGGGCCTAGGTGAGAGCAATACCCAGTGCTGAAGCCTATCCCATAAGACATGTGATACCCAGATTGTGCTGCTGTTATCTCAGCCCCAACCCAAAAGCTAAGGCCCCTGGTATATCTGGTGTTATCTATAAAGAAATACAGGAAGGAGAACTTATCAACCTGTCATCGGCCACTGGATCGAGGCTTTCATCTTTATACTTCCTAAATATTCTCATTCTAAAAACTAAGATGAGGGGCTGGAGAGACTGTAAGTAGTTAAGAACATCAGCTGCTTATAATCCCAGCATTAGTGGCTCGCAACTGTAAATCCAGTTCTAGGGTATTTGACACCCTCTTCTGGCTGCTATGACCACTGCACACCATGTAGTGCACAGACATAAATGCAGGTAAATTACCATACACATAAAATACAATTATAAAACAAACAAAAAATCCAAACTAAGAGGAAACAGACACCAGGGTCACTAGCTTCTCCACAGGTCATCTGCCCAGTGCAGCCTTCCCACACAGAAAGGAAACAGGAGGAATAACCTGGTAAGTGTGGAGTTCCCTTTTCTTTTTCTTTTTTTAAAAATATTTGTTTTTATTTATTATGTATACAATATTCTGTCTGTGTGTATGCCTGCAGGCCAGAAGAGGGCACCAGACCCCATTACAGATGGTTGTGAGCCACCATGTGGTTGCTGGGAATTGAACTCAGGACCTTTGGAAGAGCAGGCAATGCTCTTAATCGCTGAGCCATCTCTCCAGCCCCTGGAGTTCCTTTTTCATTAGATGCAACTGAGTACTGAAATCCTCTCTGTAGCAAGAGGATTTCACTACCTCTAGAGATAAGACACTGGGTCCCAATGAGGATAGGTAGGTACCCAGCAGTTGAAGGACAGTGCTGTGGATAGACCTTAATCTCATCCCTGTAGTGCAAGCATCTGAACCTAGGTATTAGTGGTACCATCTTTATTTAAGTTGGCTGACTCAAGGCTTTCCAAGGAGGAGGGCTGTCCATCATGTCCATGTGTGAGAGAGTGGCAATAGGGCACCCAACTTTAGACGTTATTCCAGTGACTCTGTGATCTGGTATTTGTTTTATAGCAATAACGTAAAACTTCCTTTAAAAGGTATTTAAGAGGTTAGAGATTTAGCTTAGTGGTAGAGTGCCTTCCTAGCATGTGTGTACCAAGAGTTCAATCACCAAGAAAGAAAATAAAGATATTGGAAGTTTAAAAAGTCAAAGTATGTAGGTAAATAATAGGTGGTAATCTGAACTACAAGTATGGGGAAGGATGTGGGTTGGGTGGGGGCTTTTGATCCTCAGTCAGAGCTACAGATAATCAAGGTCAAATGAGAGGCTATATGGATGAACCCGTGGGAAATGCTAACGGCTTCAGACAGGGGTATCTAACATAAGCCCCGTATTTAGTGGTGGGTCTTTGGGAGGAATGATTGCATGAACCATCATTAAAGAATTCATTACCAAATTCACCCAAGAAAATGCTCATGTAACATTTAGAGAAAAAAGCTACAACACTTACATGCCCACCACTGCCAACAAGTTTGGCAACAGAGAACATGTATGATCATCAAGCTCATGCATGACGATAGCCAAGCTGTTGAGCTGACAGACTAACACTACCCTGTTGGCACATAAGCTGCACTCTGAGCAGTGAGGGTCCACGCCTGGAGCCTGCAGGAGTAACATATGCTGTATCTTTGTTTCCCAAAACACCCCGAGAAAACTGTGTTGAACCCTCTTCTTAGTGGGACATAACCACCGAGCTACCCCATCAGACCTAGAAAGTCAGGCAGAACACAAAACTGCAGGAGACTACACCTCTCCACAGGTGCCCCCAAAGCCCACTCACTGTGTGTGGCCTGTTTCGGGGCTGTAGTACGCATCAAAGGGAGAAATGCTGATCAGGCACTACAGCAGGAAGCTGCTAGACATGGACAAATTTGCCATTTACAGATATTTCTAAAGTGGGGAAAAAAATAGGGGCACAGGTGATCTCTGACCTTGACCTTCTGTGCAGCTGCAGCACCCTCTTACCTCCCTGCAGCACAGTCGCACATTCAAGGCTACCGGAGCCTCTGCAGGGCAAGGGTCAGCTGTGCAGCCCCAGTCAATGCTGAGGCTGGCAGCACACGGGCCAAGGGTGGCACAAGGAAGTAAACTGCCGATGAGCAAAGTAGCCACCCCACGTGTCTGGGAACTCCAACCTGGACAGCTGCCAAGTCTGGGGTCAAAGAATAAAGAGCAATAGATGGAAAGTCACTTCTAAAATCAGGAGGGTTAAACATCCAATAAAGACAGGAAGAGGGAACTCACAGCATGTGGGTTCTTCCCTTCATTCTTCCCTCCTGCCTCAATCTGCCAACACCCACGGAGCATGTACTCTGTCTTATCTCCGAGGAAACTGTACAGATTTCCCCAGGACTGTCCCATCTGGTCACAGTGTATACACTGTGCCCTCATCTCAGTGGATGGTACCCACCACATCTCTTCATACCCACATCTCATGTGAGCAGCTAATGTTTTCTACCACACATGGATGACTTCTACTGGCTAAAAAACCTCTGAGCTCAGCAATTCCTTCTTCCCTCTGGAAGGGCCTCAGGAGTAGAAGTCCTAGGTATTCTCTACCCTGGTTTACCATTACTTCTTATGGTATGGCCCTCTTCCCAAAGTTGCCATTTGTTGTCTGGTCTTCTCTTCTAGTCTCACATATATAACACCAGACACTAGGAATGTAAATATTTCCTACTGACATTTCTCCACCCTATGGCCTAAAAACACAGAAGGCCAACACATGCCAATTAAATGGAACACCAACAAAACCCAGAGCAGGCAGGCATGGTGACACATGCCTTTAATCCCAGCATTCTGGAGACAGGTGGAGAATCAAGGCTACTCTGGTTTACATACCTAGTTCCAAGACATTCAGAGCTATACAGTGAAACACTACCTCAAAAAACAAAAACAAACAAACAAAAAAGCCACCATCACCACCACCACAACAAAAACCAACCAAACAAAAATACAAGAGCAAAATCCTGTCTGTGTGCTTCACTTAGTTCAAATTACTGATGAACTGACCAAACCGGAAGATCCAAGTCCAGTCCTGAACTCCAAGTGCTGGACTGGAGCACGGCTTTCCCACAATCCAACGTTTCGACTTAGAATTTGAAATTGTACTTGACCATACTCATGAACCAGTGAACCCAGAGACACAGAATTGGAAACCATGATAGCAAAGGTAGTCTAATCCAAACCCATGTGTTCTGGGATGGGTAGAAAGAATGACAAAGTAGCCAGGCACAGTGGCACAAGCCTGGAGTTCCCTAAGTTGTGAGGCAGGAAGGACCCTAAGTTCAAGGCTGAGCTACATAGAGAAAGAAAAAATAGAAATAAAGTCATTTGTATTGTTTCAAGTGGTTGGCAAGCCTAAAATGTATGCTGATGTTTACAATGTTATTCACACTGCCTTTGACTCTTTATCTCACTTTTCCACTCCCCAACCCCGCTGTCTTGCAGAAAATACAGAAGATCCACCCTGATGTGACAGCACCACGGACTGAGGAGCCAGGAAAAATGGAGAAAGCGGCTTGTTTGGAAAATGGTCTGACAGGTCTTCAGTTACTAGATGACCCTGAAGCTCCTCCTACAAGTAACCAAGAAGAAGGAAAAAAAAAATCCATATTCACACACAAAAGTGCACACAAATGTTCACATCTACAACTGTCAAAAAGGATCAGCAACCCAATGTTGGACAACAATCCAAGGAAAAGCAACTGAGGCACAACCATAGTGATTTCTGCAAATACAATTTAAGGAGGGGGGACTAGACTAAAGCCCACAGTGAACGGCTCTACACACACCAAGTCCTACACAGGCAGGCTGGTCCAGGAAAGCAAGGAGCTGTTGCCACAGGGCAAGATGCTCTGATAGGAGAACTGGGGTGTCTACCTTGGTGGCTGTGGGGACCGGGGCTTCGGCTTCTCCTTGTCCTTCTCCCGGTCTTTGTCCCTGTCCCGGTCTCGATGCTGCCGGTCCTTCTCATCTCGCTTGGCTCGCTCTCTCTCCCACTCCTCTTTCCTCCGCTGCCGCTCCTTGTCCCGCTCACGCTCCCGTTCTCGCTCACGCTCCCTCTGCCTGCGCTCACGCTCTCGGTCACGCTCCCGTTCCCGCTCCCGTTCTCGTTGTCTGTTCTCTCGCTCTCGTTCCCTCTCCCGTTCCTGGGTTAAAAATCCAAATATAGATGCCAAATTACACACCATTTGTTAGAAGTGCAGAGAAAACAGGGAGCAGGCAAGAGGATGCTCTCAGGAGGCCATTTAATTCCCAAGTTTTTCCTTAAAACAAGTTCGCTGTGCCTGACAGCAAAGACCTGCCACTAGGAGACTAAGGCAAGAGGATCTTAAACTCAAGGCAAGCCTGGGTCAAGTGAGAGCCTATCTGAAAGCCACTGACCTAGTATGTCGAAAGGTTTAATTCCTAATACCACAAGATACATAGATACGTGCACAAGAAAATACATGTTAAAAACAGGAATGCATACAACTGAAGAGTGAAGTTACCCCCAACCAAATAAATCCAGAACTTTGCCAACACCAGCCTGGTATGAACTCTGTACTACAAGCCCTTCCATGGCGACCAGCTCATTCTTAGGATGGCGGTCTCAATGGTTATCCACGTGGGCAGGCCCACAGCACAGTAACAGTTCTTAACGAACAATGTCTTATAGAAAGTGTGTACACCCCCTAATGCAATGGCCTGCCAGTGACTTGTTTCCCTGCTTTAATAGTCAACATAAAAACCTAAGAAGTAGTTCAATCACAGCACAGCTGACAGGCTCTGGGCCTTTGGAGACCTCAGGAGACACCGTGCATACTCCTGTGCCATTCTTACCACCTGTGCCACTAGACGCAACAGAGAACAGGTACTTGTACCCTGTATCCTACCTCCAGGAGGAAGCTTTAAGGTTATGGTTCTCTGATATGGAGTGGGCTCTTAGGGATGCCATCTGTTTGGTGCTGTGACAGTTCAGGGCTGGCATATAACTTATATAAGTTATGTGTGACAGCACATAACTGCTCAAGGGCTCCTAATAAGCCTTTCCTAGAGCAGACTTTCCAAGCAGGCTGACTGTGAAGATGGAACGGGCACTCTGCAGCACAGGTCTTTATACACACTAGGTTCTTAGGAATATTCACCACAGCAATACGGCAAGGCCAGTCAGAGGCACATCCTGAACCAGCAGGCTAGATGAGCAAGAATGGCGCTACAAGTGAGGACTTTACTCAGGAGATTTCCAAGAGGGACACACTCACGAGGGTGATAGTCTCCTGAAAACTGGCACTGATATCTTACAAGCAAATCTTACAAAACCACGGCAAAAACAATAAATCCAAGAAAGGCCACCAGATGTCAGACTATCACAAACTTAGCCCGTGGCTCCCTACATGACCAACATGGTCTCAAATTCAGGACTGCGGCATCATACATTTTGTTACCCAGGAAATATACCACAGGAAGGATTCACTGCCGTCAGATGAGGAAGCACACATCATTGCTTGTATGGCTAAGGCAGGAAGATTATGAATTTGAGGCTAGCCTAAGGTACATAGTTAGACCCCATCTAAGGAGGAGGAGAGTTTTAACATGTGGGTCATACTTACGCGATAGTTATGATATGGTTCTGCTTCTGTATACTGCACCCTGAAATTCTCGTATTGTCCACCACGCCAAAAACGCTCTATCTCATAGTCATAATAAGGATCTGCATAAGGCTCAAGTCTGTAAAACAGAGCCCAAAAGAAGGAAATCATATCATTTAAGAATGCCACAGCAAAAATTCTACATAAAAGACAAGCCAACAGAAGCCAACCCCACATGATGAAAACAAAACACCATGACCAAGTGGTATCTACAGCTAAGAACACAAGGCTGTCAGCATCAGGACACCCACCATCACTGTAAGTATACGCCAATCTGGGGAGAAAAAGCCCCGTGATCCTCCACAGGTGAAGACAAAGACAAATCTTCTGTATCCAATAAGATAAAAACATTGCCCCTCTCATCCCCCGAGACAGGGTTTCTCTGCAGACCAAGCTGGCCTCGAACTCAGATTCACCTGCTTCTGCCTCCCAAGTGCTGGGATTAAAGGAGTGAACCACCACCACCTGGCTAAAAACATATTCTTAAAAGTACTTTAAGGACTGTCAGGATGGCTCAGATGGTGAAACACTTGCTGGACAAGCCTGAAGATTTGAGTTTGGTCCAAGGAAACCATAAACATTAATCCCACAAAGCTGTCCTCTGACTCTCCACCCAGGTGCTATGGCACTCTGACCCACACACCACACATCATTGCACAGACACACAAAAATAAAAACACAACACACAACAGCAGCAGCAGCAGCAGCATCTTTAAAGCCAAAGCTGGAGAGAAGCATCGAAGGATTCCCTGAGCATTGGGATACTGTGGAACCTGTGACCACATGCAGGTTTGTGTGGGTACTGAAGGCAAGATTGGCAAAGGAGTCCAGAGAGGTGGGAATGCAGCGAAACTGTCTCCATGAGCCATTCTGTGACACTATACCTAAACAGCCCATGACAGAGTCAGTTCACACAATCATCCACCCACTCACCTCAAAAAGGCAGAACGAAGGACAAAAGCCTAACATGGAAACCTATGTCCTCACATAGAGCTCACCAGCTAATGAGGAGGCAGTATGCATAGAAGTCATTTACAACAGCAGAGGACAGGTGCTTGGGATGACACATATTCAATCAGAAATGCAGATCTCACTCCAGAAAGTCCACAAAGAGGCAACTAAGTGAGAAGACATGACAGGGTACTCCTTATCACCATGCTGGTTTATCCTGCACTGGGACATAAGCATATCCCAAATAAAAAAACCAATGAGCATATTCACAGGCTAGACAGACATGCTGACAGTCTGGTTCACATGAGAAAGAGACACAAGCCCAGCTAAGGAGACTCCAGCAGGGAAGACACCTGAAGCATGGGACGAGGCAAATGAGCTCCAGGATTTTATGTGCTTCATTTAGTGTGGGAGGAGAGCAGGCTGGACACACGAGGGTGGGGCCTCTCAGTGTCCCACTGAACAACGTGGACACCCAACAACTCTCACTTCAAAACTCCACCACTATACTGTGAGCTTACAATCTAGGGAAGGCTGAAATTAGCTAAAAGCAGAGTAACTCTAACAATGTAACTGAACTCACCAAAATTACAAACTGCTTACTTTTAGAATTCTCATTCAGTATTTCTGAATTTGCTAACTCAAACCATTGACTGCAAAGTTATGCCATACACCAAATTTACTACTTCACCCTCCTAGTGGATCGCACCTGCCCTACCCAATGACGAAAGAGTTCCAGGGCAGCTGTGGATGGGGGGGGGGCAGGGCAGGCAGTGGGCAGCTGCAGATAGGCAATGGTGCTCATGCACAATTACTTATTCCTTCTTTCTATACCTCTGAACCAATAAAGTAATGAAAAATTGCAGATAAGGACTGCAGACAAGAGTTCCTACAAGACTAAGACAGTGATTTGACTGCATCACAGCAGGGGCTATAATGCATCTTCATGTCCTAAGGCCCCCCCTTGTGCCCTCAGCAGGCAGAAATGTGGCCCATCACCTTTCCAATAAGGCTGGGAGCCCCCAGTGAAGAATCAGAGGAGTAGCACCTTCAAAGCCACACTGTCCCCTGGATCTGACTTTAGTCCTCAGAACTACACAATTTCTCTGTTGAGGATTTTTTTTTCAATATTTCTTATGGTTTATTTAACTTTATTTTTATGTGCATTGGTGTGAAGGTATCAGATCCCCCGGACTGGATTTTCAGACAGTTGTGAGCTGCCATGTGGGTGCTGGGAATTGAACCCGGGTTCACTGGAAGAGCAGTCAGTGCTCTTAACCACTGAGCCATCTCTCCAGCCCCCTATTGAGGATTTTTTGTTTCTTTTTTTGAGACAGGGTTTCTCTGTGTAGCTCTGGCTGTCCTAGAACTCTCTCTGTAGACCAGGCTAGCCTCAAATTCAAGAGATCCGTCTGCCTCTGCCTCCCTAGTGTACCACCACTCCCATCTGTTGAGATTTATAAAAGACCATCACTAAATGTCTGAGGCGGGGACTGAAGAGGTAGCTCAGTGATTAAGACACTTGCTTGCTGCTCTTCCAGAGGACATGAGTTTGGTTCTTAGTTTTCATGCTGGGAAGTTAACAACAGCCTGTAACTCCAGCTCTAGATCCAGTGCCCTCTTTTGGCATCCATGGATACACACACACACACACATAAACATAAATCCCCCTACCCCAGGGTTTCTCTGTGTAACAGTCCTGGCTGTCCCAGAACTCGCTTTGCAGACCAGGCTGGCTTTAAACTAACAGAGATCCTCCTGCTTCTTCTGCCCTCCCAAGTGCTGGAATTAAAGGCATGTGCCACCACTGCCCAGCTCATGTGAGTCTTTTTTAAAAACCTCATTCCCCAAGTAACTGAGGAAGAGGTGAGGAGACGAAGGCATAGGCTGAGCCTGTAGGAACTTTGGAAGTGCACCCCAGAGGTAGCCTCCCAGCCCAGGGACCTGTGTGTGTCTACTCCTGACAGGGCATAAATGGGCGAGGGCAAGCAGAGGATTCCTTACGTCGTGTCTCTGACATCTCTCGGGACCCTAGAATTCCAATCTCGGAAGACGTCGTTCTCCTTGTCAAACTCCCGGTCATCTTCACCAATGGTTACTGTGAACCTTTTTTCTTCAAAGTCAGGTTCCTGCTCTTTCCGAATGGTTGCTTTTTTTAAAACCTAGCACCAAAAGAAGATCGACATCAGTGTGAAATAAAGATCTCCAAATTCACTGGGAGGAACATAGGGAGCCCGAGGCCTGCAGCAAAGCACAACACCAATGCCAAAGGGTATGGGCAAACACAGGACTCCAGTCTTCTGCAGGCCTCAAAGATTGGTCTACACAGGCCTGCTGTGAATTACTTGTGTAAGTGGGCATCTAGGATTACACAAGGACCCCAGAAGACATGTAACTAAGGCCTTTATTTCAATCTCCCTGAAGAGAGAACTTGGGCACTAAGAAACCAAGGCTGGATATTAACAGACACTGGTTCAAGGTAGGTGTTGGGAGCCACAGTGGAGCAAAGGGAGGACTGAGAGAGCAGACACTGAGTCTCAGGAGGCAGGAGGCAGGACCTACAGAAAGGCAGGGTTTGTCTCACTGCCCAGGGTAACGGTCAGAGACAATTAGTCTTTTGGGCTGCCCATGACACTTTAAAAATGTTAAGACCGTGTCCAGAAAGAGTCTCTGGCCTACTGAGATTTGCCTGTAACTGGGTCTGCAATGCAGAGATGGCTAAATATTATTTCTCCTTCTCTATTAAGCCCAGAAATAATCTCACAGCTTCCGAGGTTTCACTGAGTTTCCACTCTCTCTGGATCAACGTTCTGCCAGCTCTGCCAGGCTCACTAAAGGGGTCACCACTGTGCTTTTCCTTCCATGTACACTGAATTCTTACCTCTTTTGCATGTCTGAGTCCGCGTTCCCAGGCACTCTCTGTTGGAGGTTCTGGAGGGGGTGGAGGCAAAATTTCATCAACTACTGGCCCACCCTATTAGAAAAAGAGAAGAGAAATATTGAGGAAGTACTTAAAAACCTATTAAGATATGGAGCAAACACTTAAAAGACAAGCCAGACAGCCACACACAGCTGGCTCTCCTGCCCAACCACCCACATGCCCTGGAACATCCAAGGCTACTTCTACACAAGCACAAGAAGCCCTGAACAGGTGCTCCTTGACTCTTAGGTACAGGATGCCTTTTCTATAAGGAACACATTTGTCTTCAGCCTGAGATTCAGACAGAACTCAGGTTTCCATCTGCTGGAATGGAAGAGGAGCTCACGCACCCAAGGGTTGGCAGGCATCAATGGGTGAGGTCCGAGAGGCGGGGCACCGTTGGGTGGGAAAGGTTCAGCTTTGGTGATGAGGGAGTAGTTCCCCTTGTCATTCACTCCAGGGTGGATAAACCTACAGTTCATTCCCCAGGTGCAGTTCCCTAGGGAAACAAAAGTCCAGTGAGAAAAGGTACCAAGAGCCCAACTGTTGGAAGGCAGCAGTTGGGGTGCTTACTGACAACTTGGGAAGCACCCATCAAACTACTCCTGCTCCCACAGGTCACTGAGCCTCTTCCTAGAGAGCCTCAGGCCAGTAACAGCTCAGCCTACCTCTCCCTGTGTACACAGGTGTCTTACCACAGTCCTACAGAGGTGAGCAGGGCTGGTCTGGGCCAATGGGTCTGCCAGGCACTTCAAGGAGATACCATTTCCTGATGAGAGTCCCTGCCTGGACTCCCAGGGCCTATTCATAGTCACTTTGCAGGTTCTATATCTGTGGATTCACCACCCACAGATCAAAATTATTCTGTGTTGCAGTGAACATATAGAGACATTTCACCCTTAAACAATACAGTATAAAAAGGACTGACTTACACTGTGTCCAGGATTTTAAATTATCTAAAGAGGGCTTAATTACAGGGGAGTACTGTTATACCATCTTGTAATAGGGACTTGGATATCCTCAGATTTGGCATCCATGGATATTTGGGATCCAATCTCCCATGGATACCACAGGACAGCTGGCTATATCAACTGTCTGATTACTGATAAAATCAGAAGTCAGAGAGTCTCTAGAGCTAAGGGCAGAGGCAACCCTAGAGCCTCAGCAGATGCCTGCCTGAACATTCATTTTGACTCATGCTGAGGTGGAAATCAATGGGAGGCACAAATATTACCAGATCTCTGCTGATTCTGTCCCAGAGTAGCCCTCTCCAAACCACTTTAGAATTATTTCTGGTTCTTAAAAAAAAAAAAAAAAGTGTGAATAAGGGAGGACCTGGAGAGATGGCCCAGCAGATAAGAGCAGTGGCTATTCTTGTAAAAGACTTGGGTTCAATTCCCAGCAACCCATCCAGCAGGTAACAACTGTCTATAAGTCCAATTTCACAGGCACGTGGCAGAATGTCAATGCACATAAAATAAAAATAAAAAATAAATAAATTAAAATGCTCAGTGTCTCCTATGTACAAGCATCACCTAAAAAAAAAAAAACAAGTACTACATACACACTACTAGAAGCATCTAAGATTTAAACACACTTCCTAGGCTTAATACATATAACCTTAAAAAATTAAAAACTATATTCAGTCTGTAACAGATATTCCAGTTGAACATTTCTGCTAACAAATCATGTTTTCCTTTATGTAGTTAAGTAGAAATAATCACTTAGTACCTCAGAAAAGGGCAAGTTTCATCTTTAAATAACAGGACAAATGAAGCCTGAGTTAAAACCAACTCAATACAAAGAGCATACCAATAGAAAACAAAAAATATACTCAAAATTGTTTCCCTGCAAACACAAAAATGATAAAATACCTTTTTTCATTCCTGAAAGTATTTAAGATTCGCAAAAGTTAAGTTAAATGAGTTAGAAGCTCCCTGCCCAGGAATCTGGACCTCTGAGTCCTAGAGCTGAAGACAGATGCAGACACCATCCACTTCTTCATGATCAACCTTGTTTATGTAATTAAAATGTAACAAAAAAGGGGGCTGGAGAGGTGGCTCAGCGGTTAAGAGTACTGGCTGCTCTTCCAGAGGTCTTGAGTTCAATTCCCAGCAAACACATGGTGGCTCCCAACCATCTGTAATGAGATGTGGCACCCTCTTCTGGCATGCAGGCAAAATATTGTATATACAATAAGGAGTTGATTTAAAAAAATGCAATAAAAGCTCATTATAGAAAGTCAGAAAATACAAAAAAAATCAAGTATATGATTTATACCTAAAATGTATTCCCAGTTAGTAGAAAAGTAGGCATTTATTATTTGTTTTAAAATATCAAAACAAAACAAAACAAAAGCAAATCCAAAACCCAATCCCACTGTCAAATCTCACAGTCAAACCTTTGGGCAGAAAGAAGAGAAGAATATACGCATGGGAGGAAGAAACAGAGGAAAGGTAAGGGGGGGTGGGGTAGGGTGTAGTGTCATCCCTGACAGTGTCAGGATGACAGAACCCAGCTCTCAGGAAGCTAAGTTAGGTCCCTGTGAGTGTTCACCCTTGACCACCTAAATAATGACAATGGCTCCAAAAACAGCCACTCAATCACACAGCCTGAGCAGATATCCCTTCATTTAAAATGAATCAAATGATCTATGATCACTAATAAATGATCATGGCGTACAGGAAGCCCGTTTATACAGGTAAACTGTCTTTCATGGGGGCGAGGGACCTGCACTATTATTGCTAGGACTGTGAAGAAATGCCTTCAAGGTGCACTGTCCTTACCTGTTGCATGGAGCTCAGGGCCTTGGACACATGAACAGAGCACTTTTTTTTTCTTTTTTTGTTTTTTTCGAGACAAGGTTTCTCTTTAGCTTTGGAGCCTGTCCTGGAACTAACTCTTATAGACCAGGTTGGCCTTGAACTCACAGAGATCCGCCTGCCTCTGCCTCTCAAGTGTTGGGATTAAAAGCGTGTGCCACCACCCAGCCAGAAATAAGCAGACCTTTAAGCCTTTAAGTGATTTAAGTACGTTATTGTTGAGCTACATCCCTAGCCCTATCTTTTACTTGCTCTACTATCAGTAAATATTACTTCCATAATTAAAGAAGAAAAAGAAAACATGTCAGTGAGATGGCTTAGCAGAGTATGTGTCCTGCCCACCCATCCTGATGACTTGAGTTTGATCACCACAGGCCACTCTTATGGACTGTCCTGAGCTCCACATACATATGTTCTGCCCCCTAAAATCTTAATTTCTTAATTAGAAAAAAAATGAAAAGGAAGCAAGAATAAAGGTATTTTAGACTAGTATAGTCATTTGCTTCTGATTGTGCTAAGAAACAGGAGGGTGGAGACTCACAGAGGCTAGGTGGGACAATGCAACTTCTGGATTTTGTTTGGTTTGGGACAGGCTTTCACTATGTTGCCTTGGCTGACCTGGAACTCACTGTGTGTTGACAAAGCTGGCCTCATACTCAGACAGATGCACCTGCTTCTCCTTCTAAAGTGTTAAGATAAAAGGTGTAGGCCACCGACACCTAGCTATTTCTGGAATCCAGAGGGTATCTACACATGGGGTATCAATGGAAAGAAATGTTCTTTTTCTTAACTGGTGGCTCATATCTCAGCAATTCTATTTTTATGCTTGGTAGATACTATTTATTTATTTAATATTCTTTAAAATCAATCAATTAATTAATTAAATAATTATGTATACAATATTCTTTCTGTGTGTATGCCTGCAGTCCAGAAGAGGGCATTACATTACAGATGGTTGTGAGCCACCATGTGGTTGCTGGGAATTGAACTCAGGACCTTTGGAAGAGCAGGCAATGTCTTAACCTCTGAGCCATCTCTCCAGCCCCCATTATTTAGGTTTTTGAGATAAGTGTTTCTCTGTGTAACAGTCCTAGCTGTCCTACAACTCAAACCATAGACCAGGCTGGCCGAATTCACAAAGATCTGCCTGCCTCTGCATCTCAAATAGTGAGATTAAAGGTGTGTGCCACCACCCAGCCAGAAATGAGCAGACCTTTAAGCCTTTAAGTGATCTGTTGGCTGGACTGGCTATTATCAGTTGCATGATCACCACCACAGGCAAAACACCTGTCACAACAGCAAAGATAACTTTACAACATCCACCCTTCCAGACAAAACACTGGTTTCCGTCCAGAGCACATATTCTGACAAAGTGGCCCTACTTCAGTACGCCTTGGTTTCCTTTTCAGCTAGTCTAAGCAGCTGCAAACAGCTAGTAGATACAGCCTGTATATAAAAGTCAAAGTGCTTCACTGGTTTTAAAAATCTTGAAGCCAGGAGATGGCGGTGCAGGTCTTTAATTTCAGCTCTTGGAGGGCAGAGTCAGGTGGAGCTCTTGAGTTCAAGGCCAGCCTGGTCTACAGAACTAGTCCCAGGACAGGCTCCAAAGATACACAGAGAAACCCTGTCTTGAAAAACCAAAAACGATGATAACAACAACAACAACAAAAAACAACAGCAACAACAAAACCCAAACTTGTCAAAGTCAGGCATAGTGGTGCAGGCCTTTAATCCAGCACTTGGGTGGATGAGTGAGTGTGACAGAGGCAAGTGAGTTTGAGGTCAGCCTGATCTACATAATGAGACTCTATCTCAAAACAATAAACAAAAAAACCCCTGTCAAAATTTATTTCGTACTGACAGGCAAGTCTGGTCTTTGCATATGCACGCTCATAGTAGGAGTGCCTTACTTACCAACTAGTTGCATATCACTATGAAAACTGCCTAATTTCTGAGTCCTTGAACGGTCTCTGGGACTCCCAAAGGCTACAGGCCACTCTGAGACATGACATGTTATACACACGAAGAACACAGGGATCCAAAAGTGAGCAAACACAGCTAAGATGCACAAATGGCTGTAATAAGCACTTGAAAAGGATGTACATCACAGAACATTAGAGAACACAATGACTCAGACATCATCAGACACTGGTAGAACTGAATGAATAAAATGGGAAAATTAATGGGCACAGCCACAGTGGAGCCCCTTAAGGGGTTTAACTCAGTGGTCTAGCGCTCAACTTGCAGACTCAAGGCTCTGAGTTTCATCCCCAATGTGCCCTCTCCTAAATCACTACGTACTGTGTAGCTCTGCTTCCAGATCAATCAACTCGGGAATCAAGAGCACCCTCACACAAGTTTTTGAGTGTTCACATTTTCATTTCTCTTGCACAAACACAGAGGAGGGCTTGCAGTGGTATTATGAAAAAGAATGACCCCATAGGTTTATTTGTTTGAATGCTTGGTGTCTAGTTGAAGGAACTGTTTGGGAAGAATTAGGAGGTGTGGCCTTGCTGGAGGAGGGAGTAGACTTTGAGATTTCAAAAGCCCACACCAAGCCCAGTTAGCTCTCCTACTTGCAGACAGAAGTTTTCAGCTACAGCTCTAGTACCAGGCCTGCCTGCTCCCTATACCATGATGTGCACAGTCACCAGCCGAAACTGGAAGCCCCAACAGATTCTTTTATTCTTACAAGTTGCCTTGGTCATGTTGTCTCATCATAGCAACTTAAAAGTAACTATGACAAAAGGTAGTACCAGGAATGGGGCTTCGGCTGTGGTAGACCTGACCATGCAATATTTATTTATTTGAGAAATATGCAAGATTTTGGGACCTTAAACTAGATTTTGAATATTGTAAACGGGGCTTAATGGGCCATCCTAATAGGAGCTTGGAAGATTACTAGTAGTGAGGAGAGTAATGTGGACTACAGAGGCCCAGCTCAAGAGGTTTCATATGGGCACAACATTAACAGCTGGGCTATAGAGCATTTGTGTGATATTTTGGCAAAGAATGTAGCTACTTTTTGTCCTAAGAATCTGTCTGAGGCTAACTTGAAGAGCTGTGGAATTTCAGTGGCAGAGGAAATTACAAGACAGCCCTTAGAGTAAGAACCCATCCAGCTAGTCTTACAATCTGTGAAAAGGCCAGAGGAATTATGTGTTCCTAAAGAGCAACAAATCAAGTTTATGCAAATGTAATTTAAGGAAGGGACCAGGCTCCACCCCAAGCAGGCAGCCAAACTTGACAGCATGGGTTCTGGCTTTGGAATCATGAAGGATACAGTAAAGGGGCGGTGGAATCTTTCGTACAGTCAAGGAAGAGTGGCTCAAGTCAGGTGTGTGGTAGGTAAGCCTCTGCATGGAGGCTGGAAGAGGCCATTGTATGAAGCTATGGAAGTGAAGCCTGGATTGTGTTGAATACCCCAGGAGGATGGAGGTACCAAAGCCTTGGGGCATCTGCCAAAGAAAGCTAATGTAGACAGGGAGTGAAACAAGCCCAGAAAAGAGAAGTGTGCTTCAGTCAGCAAATCTGGAAGGACAAAGCCAACTAAGCTCTTTGACATCAGACATAAACTACACAGCAGTTCTCAGCCTTCCTAATGCTGTAGTACAGTTCCTCATGTTACAGTGATCCCCAACCACAAAATTATTTTTGTTGCTACTTCATAACTGTAATTTTGCTAATCTTATGAGTCGTAATGTAAATATCTGTGTTTTCCAACAGATATTTACCTGAGAAAGGTTAGCTTGACCCAGGGGTCACAATCCAAAAGTTGGAACTGCTGCTTTAGACTGTTGAGACTATGAAAGACCATTGGGGACTTTTAAAATCGAAGTAAATGCATTTTGCATGATATGGCCACAAACCAAATGCAGCCAGAGAGTGGACTAAATGAGGTGATTTGAACGAACCTCACAGGCTCATATATTTGAATGTTTGGGCCAGCTGGTAGAACTGTTAGGGAAAGATCAGATGGATTAGGTTGTATGTCACTGGGAGTAGCCTTGCAGGTTTCAAAAGTCCATAACATTCCTGGTTAATGCTCCTCTCTCTCCCTCTCTGCTTCCTACTTGCAGATAAAGACGTAAGCTTAGTTACTACTCCAGAGTTATGCCTGTCTGCCGCCATTCTCTCTGCCATTAAGTTCATGGACTCATCCTCTCAAACTGTAAGCCCCAATAGACCTTTTCTATAAGTTGCCTTGGTCATGGTATCTTATCTCATCACAGCAACTTAAATTACCTCAGACACTTGCTGAACTATATAGTCATTCTATCCCTTAACTTTTGAGGAGCTACCAGCAGTGTGCAAGGATTTCATATGTCTACATCCTTGCTAAGACAGCAAGCTTTATTACTAAAGTAACTTATCTCATTATTGACATTCTTTTCTTTCTTGAGTCAGTATCTGTAGCCCTGGCTGGCCTGGCATTCAAGAGATATGTCTGCCTCTGCCTCCCAAGTGCTGGGATTAAAGGTGCACACCACCAAGTCCAGCTGAAGATTGGGGGGGGGTCATGGCAGGTACGTATGTGCACTCCCATGTTTGAGTACAGTATTTACAGAGTCCAAAAGAAGGCATCAGATCCTCCTAAAGCTGAACTTATGGGCAGTTGTCAGCTGCCTGACATGGGTGCTGGGAACTAGACCGGGTCCTCCAAGAACCATACCTGCTCTTAATAAACTGTTTCTTTAGCCCTATCATAAGGATGATAAATCAATTGATTTCAACAGAACACCAAACTTATAACTTGTAGGCAAACAAAAAAATTGCATCAAAATAAATTTCTTGTAATGATGATAAAGATATCTCAGGGAACTGCAAGCTCCATCATTTTTTTCCCTTTTGTATACCATAAATAGGATGAGAAAAAGGGAAGCACTGGTTAAAAACACCCTGGAAACGTTACTACCTTCAGGTTCCTACCTTTACTTCCTTCAATAATGGACTATGATGTGGAATTGTAAGCTAAAATACTATTCCTCCCCCCATGCTTTTGGTAATTGGTGTTTTTATCAAAGCAATAAAAACTCTAAGCTGCTTCCCACTTCTTGACTGCAGAAAACTTCCTCTGGCATAGCCTCACTCACAAAAATCCAAACACAGCTTAGTGTAACCAGTGTCCACCCAGTGTGATGATTAAGGCAACAATCCCAATCCCAGTGTATGCAGATGTCTCACAAAGAGGTGGTTTGCATTTCCAATACATTTCATCTGTTCTGTGCTCGGTAAGTTCTGAGAATTAGGCCAGGGTGTGAGTCTCTGGCTCTTGCTCCAGAGACTCCATGCTGATGCTGCCAGCCTGTCCCAAGCAACTGGTAAGCTCCTGTGCTGCAAAGGCATTGTGCAGCAGTCTGAGAGCAGTACTAATGAGAACCAAGTACAGATACATACTGCATGCAGATTCCTGATACTGTAATTTACACGTCTGCAGAGAAAGACTACATTTATTCCTCATGCCATTAGTTCAAAAGGGTCTCCTGCTTGCACTTATATTTCTTGAAATACCAGCACTTTTTTTTTTTTTTTTTTTTTGGTTTTTCGAGACAGGGTTCCGCTGTAGTTTTAGAGCCTGTCCTGGAACTAGTTCTTGTAGACCAGGCTGGCTTCGAACTCAGAGATCCACCTGCCTCTGCCTTCCGAGTGCTGGGGTTAAAGGTGTGTGCCACCACCGCTCGGCTGAAATACAGCACTTTAAATATTTTATTTTATTTTTTTTATTTATTGCTGGGAATTGAACTCAGGACCTCTGGAAGAACAGTCAGTGCTCTTAGCCTCTGAGCCATTTCTCCAGCCCAGCACTTTAAATATTAAAGTGTTTGAAGAATTAAGATGTATGTTACAGTCTTTCATTCTTAGGGTGCTTGGGTCAATGTCAAGTGAAGGTCACCTGTGCACCCCACCCCCAATGTACACAATTGACTGTGCAACTTTTATCTGTCAACTATTTTTAGTTGACATCCCAAGAGCATAATCCCAGAGAAGTGAGCCTGAGCAGGATTTTCATGAATGTCCCATCACCAGGGAATCTCTTAGCCTTAGGGACAGGGCTGTTTGTGGATCACTTTTGGACACAGCCTTCCCCATGAATAATACAGGATTCCACTGCCCACCTGTGGAAGTTCCTGTTCTTCAAGTGCAGGGCCATGGCTTTAACCTGCATCTCCTCCCCAGCTCTAATGACACTAAGGAGGATAGGGTCACAGCAGCTCTGTCCCTCAAGCCTCCTCCCTGTTGGCGTCCCAGCTGTGCTCTGGATCCAGGAGAAAGAAGTCTGGCCTCTGGCGCAGGGGACTTTAAGGCACAACAGAGAGTGAACACAGGATATTTTGTACCTTTAACCTGGCCTCTGAGTGGTATGGAATTTGGTATTGGTGGAAGAAGAGTGGATAATGGTGTCACAACATCTGGAAAAGAAGTACAGGAAGCTCTTGTGAACTTAAGACTGCACACACAGGCTGGCCAGCGAGCAAAGTCATCCACGCGCAAGAGAAAACACCTTCCTATCTGTCCAAGGAAACCGCTCAATGAGAAATATACCCAAAACACTGCAGCACATCCAGGCAAATCTTGCAGACTGGAGACTCTTAATTATTTCTTTCTGAGACAGGGTTTCTCTGTGTAACCACCCTGGCTATCCTGGAACTCTCTCTGTAGACCAGGCTGGCCTTAAACTCAGAGGTCTGCCTGTCTTTGCCTCAAGAGTGTTGGGGTTAAAGGCACATGCCACCACTGTCTGGCCTTAACTTCACTTCTGTTTCCTCCCAGGCTTTACAAAGCCAGAGCATCACATTACTTGTAATGTGGTCAGTCCAGATCAGTAAGCAAGACTCAAATACCCCTGCTGAAGCTACTTAACTGTCCTAGTACTTTGCAGGAATGCCCTCAGAGGCTCTCCTTTGCCCTTTTAATACCACCCCCCAGCACCAAAGGACCTACTTCTGCTCTCTTGTAAAAAGTGGCTCTTTCTTACAGAAGTGGGGAATGCTAACAGTGGAACAGCTGACCACACAGAAACTGCCACTGTCTGTTGCAACCTTGGGTCTGTTGTAAACAGTAGGCCTGAAACCTACAGGGTAAGAACACCAGGAGGCTCTCCTCCAAGGCAGTTTTTAAGGTGAGAACAGGACCAGTAAAGGGTCTATTGTCTACCACCAATACCATCGTCACTACCACCAACTTGTAGTCTAGTCCCATGAAGCCTCACTGACATGAACAGTGTGCCCGGATGAGGATGGATTACCACCACGGTCCCAGGAAAGCAGAGGCTACATAGATGGCTGCAGAGGCTGGAGGTAAACAATTACCTTTCATGAAGAATCGGCAGGTGGGGCGAGGCCTCACCTTCCTGTCACTGGGGTCCTTCACTTCACCTTCCTCCAAGTCATCATCCTGAAACAGAGGACAGTCATCTGGAGGTGAGCTGACCCACCTTGCCCATCATACCCCTCCACCAGGCCAGCAGCACAGAGCTGGGTGTGGAGAGCATCTGCCTTTCCAAAGGCTCACCTCCAGTTTCCCAATCTGAAATGCTCAGCTACACAACAGATGGTCTCTCCATCACCTATAACCTCAGAAGAATATTGTGGGAATGATGGGCTCCACCAGACATGTCAGGGCAGAGCTTTGATCTGTTTCTATCAACTGTGAGCAGGCAATGGTCACACTTTGTGGTCTTTACTACCTTGTACACTAGCAGTGTACAAACCTAGTACTCCATGCCCTTTGAATAATTCATGTCTCTGACAAGGGAAGTCAGGTGACTGTGATGGACAATACTACCTTGTGGCTCATTCTTTACCTCACCATCATTTTAGAGAGACCTAAAAACTTTAGAGAACAGAACCCAAGTTGTATTCCCAGGGTTCTCACAGGCAGCCAAGACCTGACCACTGCTCTGTGATCTCCCAACCACCTCTGTGCCCAGGCCTGTCCCACCAACCTATGCCCATCAGCCTTGTCACTGAGACTCCTTGTAGTACTCCTGTCCTGTGTTCTCTGGATAGCCCAGGCACCAGGGAAAGAGTGAGCAAAAAATGCTTCCTGATTTGGCTTGCTGACCCCATAAGACAAAGGCAGAACAAAGCCATGAAGCAGCAAGTGAGGGAGTAACCCCAAGTCCAACACATACGGGCTATTCCTGGTATCCTGCAGGTGAAACTAACCAGGGTGTCTCTGGGACACAAAAGCACTTTTACAGGTCAGAAGGATCAGTAAGGATATCCTTGCTTTCCTGAGGTGGCAGGTGGATGCTGAGCCACACCTGTTCTGCAGGACCTGTTAATCACTAAAGGTCAGCTGCCAAGAACATCCTTGCCAGCACACACCAATAAGCAAGTGTCCAATGCAGCTGACCCACAGTCAAATGCATGCATTCCTGAACACTTACATAGGGGCACTGCCTGAGAGATGCTTATCCTACAGGGCAATCTGAAGATAAGCAGGTCTTTGGCTAGGAGACTGCACCTGAGGAGGGAGTCTGGTGATGCAGCAATCACCTGAGACTGTGAAAAGAACAATGTACGTACTAAGCAAGAATAACAGTGGTCCATAAGCCTACAGGGGCAGAAACAAAGTCAATATGCAAGCAATATACAAGAGTGGGAGAAAGAGACATAGTCAAGGAGAGGAGCTTCCAGGAAAAATGGCTGCTGGCCCAGAGTCACTGTGCTCTCTTGGGCCCAAACTATTACTCACAGTGCCCATTTGCCTACCTGCCCTGTTATATTTTCAGTATGTTATTCTGAGACTGGTACATGTCTGGGAACCCTAATGCCTAGAGCTTCCAAAAAGTATGAACCATGGGGTGCCCTGGACTAGAGGAACAGTCTGGCAGGAAGGAAGTAGCCAGCCTCTCCTGTGGCTGAAGGATGCTGGGCTGGGGTCTTTTAGTAACATGCTGCTTCCCATGGAGTACAGGACAGTTTACATGGGGTTACCATGCAGAGTAGGCAAAAACAAAACCATACTGCCAAACTGTATTGGGCCAGAAAGTCAACTGGCAGATTCATCTCATATACTGTTTCCAAGGGAAATGAGCAGACGAAGACCATAGGTGCTGTCTAGGGCAGGCTTGGTTCAGTCCATCTCCCCATTGCCCATGCCCACAGTACAATAGAAGAATGTCAGTGCCACCAATGCCAAGGCCTTCCATAATTCCTATGAAGACTGTCAAGCTCGTTTGATCTTTCACTGTGGGAAAAGGAAGCATCTGACACCAGGCACACCTAAAACATAGGTTTTAACCTCAACTTGAACATCACAACATCTTTTCCCTTTTACCAACACTGAGGTAAAGATCAATTTCCCCAAAGTGGAAGCACAAATGGCAAAACACAAGAAAGTCTGCACAGCAAAGTCCTTCACAAGGGGAAACTAAGAGAGCTGACTCCAGAGACCATTTACTACACAGCTGGAAGAGAAGGTGAAACATCTGCTATTTTATGCTTGCAGCCACACATACCCCATCCACCCAGGTCTACTATACTATTGGGACCCAAAGCCCTACTATCAACTTCCCTGTATGGATGGAGTCATCCTCCATCCATGACACCCTAAAATGAACTGGTGTCAGACTGCTGCAGGGATGGTGCATACGGAAATCTGGGGTCCTCAGATACTGGCCCACTCTCCCTGGATCACCCCAGAGATGTTTAACTTGTATTTCACCAGAACGACTCAGATGAGCGGATTCCTCTTGAGGCACCTGAGAATCCCCAGATGGCTGATTTGTTCTGCCCCTCCCTCACCTGCTTTGAACTCAACTGCTCTGAACTTTGGGTTGTGACCCTCAAAACCTCCAGATTCAAGCTTACAATAGAATCATATGTAAAGAAACCTGACTTCCACACATTCATGACCCGCATGAAGGCCAGATTTAAAGAAGGCATCTTCTGGGGTCCATGGACGCTCTGTGGCTACTGACAGAAGCCCTCTGCACGAGCCTACCTTCCCTTTTCCACTGTGAACACTAGCTCTCATTTTACTGCATGCCTGGTCCAGCCCACCACTGACCATCTCTCTGGGAACAAGGGAGCCTGCTTCTCCTGGATCAGGAATGTCTGCTGAAGGGCCAGGGTCCTTGCCTGCTCCACCATACTCACGTCTATCTCTCCATCATCAATCTCTCCATCGTCATCCTCTTTCTTCTTCTCCTTGGCAGCCTCTGTGGGTTCTTTTTCTCCCACACTCTGAACATCAGGTTTCCCTTCCTCCTCCTGGGCAGCAGGAGCCGGCTCCTCGGGGACCTCCTCATCATAGTCTAGCTCGTGCTCATCCAGTTCCCGGGTTACTGAGGAGGCTTCATCCCTGAGGTCACTCGTTCGGTCTTCCTCAACGTCATCCCCCTCCTCGCACACAGATCCTGCTGGGCCCCTGCTCAGCTCATGAGCCTCTGAGTCTTGATCCTGGGACTTGGGTTCACTGGCTTGGTCTTCTTCATCAGAATGAGTCTCTTCCTGGCTTTGTACCCTAGTTGTATTTTCCTCATCTTCCAAATCAGAAGCCCTTTCCCCAGCTCCATCCAAATCTTGTTCAGATCCACTTTCCCTCAGAATGTCATCATCAGAGAGCGCCGGCTGCTCTTCATCCTCTGGGGAGTGAGGATCCAGTTCAGGGCTCTCAGCCACATCCATCAGGACCCGCAGATCTGCAAAGACAGACAGCACAGACTCAGCACAGGCCTATCCTCCTGACCCACATGCCCTCTGCCCTGAGGAGGAGGAAGGATCCAATCTGCCCTTGCTCCATACAGCCCCTCCCAAACCCACACAACTCCCCATGCAGTGTCAGAGCATAACTCCACCAGGAATAGTTGGCCTCCACTCAGTCCTTCCTCTTGCCTGCAGCCGGAACAGGAGAAGAGAAGTGAACAATAAGTCATGGATTGCAAAGGGCAGCTACCGGGATTCACGGGAATGACTACTGAAGGTTTCTACAGTGGAATGAGGTAGCACCCTAGGTCAGCAGTGGTTTTCAACTGACCCTTTTTCTCTTACTCTGCCTATCAAGCAAGCTTCTTGTCACCTCTTCAATCCCTCCCCTGTACTTAAGATTCAGACTCCAAGACTTCGTTCAGACCTGCCACCCAGCCTCCAGCATGTTCTTCAAAGGCACTGCTCTAGGACCAGTGATACCCGAACCCAAACAACCAAAGTTATCTGTTGTACAAATGGATCATGACAATATTTTTAGACATTTAAAAGATTTTTTTTATTTATTATGTATATAGTATTCTGCCTGCATGTATACCTACATGCCAGAAGAGGGTACCAGATCTCATTATAGATGGCTGCGAGTCACCATGTGGTTGCTGGGAATTGAACTCAGGACCTCTGGAAGAATAGCCAGCGCTCTTAACCTCTGAGCTGTCTCTAGCCCTTAAGTCATATATTTAAATAAAAAAACTTTTTATTTTTAGAAGACTCACTTCTATTTCTACAAATCCAGATTTAATCATATAATGAAAGCAAATGTTTCTGGTTTTCCACCTCCACAACTCACAGAAAACACTTTGCTCTGCGGGGTGTATCAGCACATGCTTATAATCACAGCACTTGGGAGCAGGAGGCTATCTCACACTACACAGCAAAACCCTGACTCAATAAAAAAGCACATGGCTGCACTTGGTTTAAAAGCAGCCACCTAAGCTGGAGCCAGAGAGTAAGTAAGTGTAGATGTCGCGTACAGCACCCAGGATCCAGCACTGCTATCACAACAGCAACAGATACCAACTTACTTCATAGAGGAAGAAGGGTTTGCAGTTTATCTGACTCTATATTCTGAGGCTGGAAACAAACAAACACAAACAGGCTGTTTGGTACCTAGCAAAACGTACAATTTACTCATTTTGGGATCACTATGTGTTTAAAGGTACATATATTCATGTTCTTGTTTGTTTGTTTTGCTTTTTTCAAGACAGGGCTTCTCTGTGTAGCTTTGAAACCTGTCCTGGAACTCACTTTGTAGATCAGGCTGGTCTTGAATTCACAGAGATCCGCTTGCCTCTGCCTCCCGAAATCACCACTGCCCGGCTTTATATTTATGCTCTTTATAGATTATATTTACATAACTTTATATTTATCTATTAAAGATAAAATGTATGTTTCAATTTATGCGCTTTGTAGGGTGAGCACTGTGCTAAAAATTGAATTCTGGATCTTACATATGCCATGTAAGTGCCCTATCACTAAGCTTCAGCTCAGAACCCAAATTTGTACTTTTAAAAACTTGTAGCCTGTTGGGTGCTGGTGGCACATGCCTTTAATCCCAGCATTCGGGAGGCAGAGGCAGGAGGATCTCTGTGAGTTCGAGGCCAGTCTGCTCTACAGAGTGAGTTCCAGGTCAGTCAGGAATACACAGAGAAGCCCTGTCTGGAAAAACCAAAACCATCATAGGTTACTCAAAAATACACGGCAGTCAAGGTTTTCTGGTTGTCTAGCAACAGGGCTGAGGAAGGAATACTGAAGGGATTATTAAGTCATCCTACCTGAGCATAATAAACACATGTCAGTTTGGAAACCTAGGATTTATGGGACCAGGCAAGAGGACTGTTGAGAGTTTGAGGCCAACCTGGACTACACAATGAACTACAGCCCAGAGAGAGAGAGAGCAAAAAGCAATAAGAACAAGTTCAGAAGCTATGTGCACAGCCTCTGATCTCTGCAGAGTACAGCGAGGGTCCTGAAGTGGGCAATGGTGAATATCATGTAGACAGGGGCTCTGTGCTTTTTCACTGTCTAAGAGAAAGTTGGTGCAAAGCGCTAGTGTGTGGGTAGGTAGAACTTTAGTAATTAAGCCGAGTTAATGCCAAAGACAACATCCCAATATATCAACACTAAGGAAGACATGAATTCCTTAGTATGTAACATCTGATCCCTAGCTTTGCAGTTTTTATTATATTGTATATTTTTAAGTCTTCATAGAGGCTCAGGGACTTCTCATCTCTTTAGCTGTCTAGTGGTAGCACCTGGTACCCATAGGCAGTCAGTCATGCTGAACTGGTTACCAAGTCTCATATGCCCTACTTGAAACCCGAAAATTCCTATTCTAGTATTTTATAGCTAAAGGCAACCTTGTAAACAAAGTTATCTTTTAAATCAACTGTTCTGCAAAACCAAATATCCTGTCTAATTTGGAAGTCATACAACCGATACTGTAGAAAACAAAGTCCAGCTCCAAGATGCTACCCTCCTTGTAACATACTATCTTATATATGGTTCACAAGACCTTCTAACTTGGTCACAGCCCTTTTCTGGGGCCCTGGTACAAGTTGGTTTGCTTTTGGTTTCAGTTAAAATTAAGTTAATGAGTTGTTTTTCATATTTTGAAAATCTTGAAAGGAAATCCTATGGTAAGAAATGGAGACAGAGTGCCCAACTAAACAGCTAAACTTTACTAAGAAGCAGGCAGGTGAAGGAGAGAAGGCTACTGTGTATGACTCAGGATCATCATTTGGACATTCTGAACCTGTGTTCCCAGATCACAGATGGAATTAGTTCTAGTCTCAGCTACTGAAGTTTTACTATAAATTCTTTTTGGTACAGACCACGAATAAACTAGGGTCTTTACAAAGCTATAGGCTCTGTCTCTTTTCCTTCCTCCAAATATCAATGCACTAGACATTCACCACAAAGACACAGCCAGGCGGACTAGCTCTGAAAGGCTGGTGTGCTGTGTATATGCCCACTAAACCTTCATGCCCTCCAGGTGAATTTACAGTTACTTACAGCAGTAAGTCACAAGAAGTCCATTTTGTGAAGGCAGTTTTTGCCTTCACATGCCATAAACTTTCAAAAGTACCTGTGGCTGTCCTGGTGTGTGTGTAGGGGGTGGGGGAGGCAAGATGACTCTTGGGATCACAGGCTGTTCTGAGCAACCAATGACAGGCATGAACAAGCCTGGACATTCAAACTCTCTCTTCCTTTCTGGCAGTTCAAAACCCCCAAATTCCACTCCACGTTAGGCATCTTGTTTCTTATATTGTACATTATTCTGTTTATCTAACTGCACCTATCATATAAACTCCAACAGCTTATTTGAAGGCTTTTGGGAGGTCTCTCCCTCAGCTCTAAGTTGGGATCTTAAATTACCAAAGGCCAAGTGTTAACGTCTTGGTTCCTAGGGACACACTACTAAGAGATGCAGGAATCTTTCTATAGAAAATTTTGACAGTAAGGCCTACGAGGAATTCATTCTTTTCTTTGCTCTCCAGCATTTAATGAGACGATGAGTGGTTTTGCTCTATCACACTCTGGCTACCTTACCAACTGAATATGGTCTAGATTCTAGAATACACCAAACCGAGAGCCAAAATATGCCTTTTCTCCCCCTGCCTCCTTTTTTTAAAAAAAAATTTTTCTTTTTGAGACAGGGTTCCTCTATGTATCCCTGGCTGTCTAGAACTCTTTATGCAGAACAGCTTGGCCTCAAACTCACAGAGATCAGCCTGCATCTGTCTCCTGATTGCTAGGATTAAAGGTATGTGCCACTAATCAACTTCTACCTCTTCTCTGTAGGAGTTCATCACCTCAGGTATGTGTCACAGTGAAGGAACACATATACTCTTCCCGCTCCTTCAGGGTGAGAAAGGATGGAGGCTCTCAAAGGGCTGGCCCTCAGTAGCCTACACACCACACACTATACTACCTGGGAGCCAAACTGACTCCAACCACACTACTAATGGCAGAACAGTAATGTCACATTCTCCTCACAGTTGGGTCACTTTGAAGAACTGCAACAAACAACTTAAGAGCTTGGCCTGGTGAACTGCCAACCCAGATAAAACTACTCTTGGTCAGCCAGGCAGTGGTGGTGCACACCTTTAATCCCAGCACTCGGGAGGCAGAGGTAGGTGGATCTCTGTGAGTTTGAAGCCAACCTGGTCTACAAGAGCTAGTTCCAGGACAGGCTCCAAAGCTACAGAGAAACCCTGTCTCAAAAAAACGAAACAAAACAAAAAACACGACTCTTGGTCAAGCATGGGGGTGGTGAGACTATTAAATTAAACCAATTTCTTCATGTGGCTTACCACTGAGACAGGTGTTCCATGTGGGCTTCAGCAAAGGGGAATCAATAACAGACAAACACAACTTCTGGGAAACTTTTTCTTTCCTAGCTGTCCTGGAGTCACTATGTGGACCAGGCTAGCCTCAAACTCAGAGATCCTGTCACCCCTGCTTCCCAAATGCTGTGATTCAAGGTGTGGGATACCATGCCCAGCTATGAGAAACTACATTGAGCAGACCAGGTCCTATGCTGATGTCTAAGCTCTATTATGACTGCTTAAAATCCTCATTCACAGTTTCAATGTATACAGCAAGAATGTCAGGATTGTTGACAAACACCACTCCAAAGTGATGTAAACTCAACCAAAAATTCTCTGATAAGGAGTAGTCACCTTGAGACAGTCTGTAGATGCCAAGGTATCTCTTTAAAGATGAGCAAGGCAAGAGCTTACCTGCTGGGTGTTCTGAAGTAAATCCACAAAGTTCTCTTAAAGTGTTTGTGCATTCCCCACCTACAACTGAAGAGGAGTTTCAGGCTTTGGGGCATAGTGAACTGGTTCCAGAACTGGCTGGGCTTCATAAGCGCTCAGATCAAACACAGTCTCCACTCGGGGGCTTGGAAATGGTAATTAGCCTAGGGGTTGAGAATCTCAAACCCTGCGTTGGGACAGGAAATGTCAAGATGAACCAAATACCCTCTTTCATTTTCCCCAAGTGGGTCTGAAGAATTACCTATTCTTGCAAATAAATCCTAAACAGAGCTCATTTAAAGCTACTATTATTGTGCCTGGCAAACTCGGCTGTCAGTGTATGTGGGGAAAACTAAACCTCCAGCAGTAGCGAGGTTGTAAGTCTTAATTTCCTCCAGCACCACAACTGTTGCTACTTTACGCCAAAGACTCGGTGTCTCTGAGCTCCCAGTCCAAGATGCGAGGTTACACTTCCTACAGAGATCAAGGCCTCTAGGGGCACAGTGGGTACGTCCAACCTGTGCACACTTGAAGTTGCGGGAGCAAGTTGCAGGAGGCTCCAGAGAGCTCAAAGTTCTCCGTCGAGCCCGCCGACAGTCCAGGCGGGCCTCCTCCCGAGCCAACCTGCGTGTTCCTCTCCCCCTTTGTAGGCGGCGAACATGTGCCACGCCGAGTGGCCCGGAAGAGAAATGACAGCTTCAGAAAAACCAAGTTCACCGTGGCAGACCGCGGCGCGCTAAGGCG